TTTCCCTGTTATCCAATTATTGCATTACTATATCGTGAACTCTTAGTATTCCACGTTGTATAATGACATTGGTATCTCTTTGACATATAGTTCTCCAAATTGTTTAGTTCTTAAATAAGTATCTCGTTCACTTTTAGTTTGCCTCGTTATCCAATTATTAGATAAGCATCCAGTGCACTTTTAGTTGCCTATTGTTTAATTTCTACATCCAATAATTTTATCCAATTATTACACTATTATCTTGTGCACTTTTAGTTTTCCTTGATATCCATTAATTACATTAGTATCTCGAGCACTTTTAGTTTTCTTTGTTGCTTAATTATTACATGGGTATCTCGTGCACTGTTAGGTTTTCTTGTTATTCAAGTATTACAGTAGTATCTCTTGTACTTTTAGTATTCCGTCTTTTCCAATTATTAGACTTTTACTTTTCCTTGTTATCAAATTATTGTATTACAATAACGTGTACTTTTTGTTTTCCTTGTTATCCAATCATTACGTTAGTAATTATTTTAAAGCTTTTAAGACCACTTGCAATTTTATAATCTATCACAGTATTGTTGGGTGTTGCTTTTCTATTACACATACATGAATTTGACATTATGCGTCAATAATATAAGACTTGCCGCTAAATTTATATAAACAGTAGAATTCTCAATCACCCTTTCTTGGAAGTGAACAGAACAAAGGAACAGAACAAAAGAAGTGCACACTTCATGCACATTTACATGATTTTAATTTTCAAACGTAGTGTCCTTATGTAAGTAAAAGAAACTATCAATCCGTGTCTGCTTTTGAGGTTCCCTGATCTTAGGATATGCGACACTTTTAGTAGAGTGATTTAAAGTTCCTTGTTACTATGTTAGTTAGCAAACTCCACGGAAAGCTCGTTAGTATCTTTTGGACTTTTAGTATTTCTTGTTGTTCAGTTGTTATGCTAATATTTCTCAGTCTTTTAGTTTTCCTTGGTGTGGGACTGTTAGGTAATTATCACGTGGTCTTTTATTTTTCTTTGTTGTTTGATCGTTACGTTGGTGTCTCGCCGCAGTCCAAAGGTTTCCTTGTTGTGCTTTTTTCACCTTACTATCTTATGCACGTTTACTTGTTCTCAATTGTCATGTTAGTATCTCGGACACGTTTTTTCCTTGTCACTCGATTGTTCTGTTAGGATCTCTGACACTTTTTGCTTTCCTTGTTGCGTGATTGTTCCGTTAGTGTCTCAGTTGCCAACTTTTAGTTTTCCTGGTAGTACCATTTTTATGCAAGCATTTCCGCACATTTTTAGTTTTCCTTGTTGCTGGATTGTTACTTTACAATTTTAAGCACTTTTAGTTTTCTTTGGTGTTTGATTCCTTTTTTTGATTTCTGTTCATGTTTAGTTTTCCATGATTTCCGATTCTTTTGTTACAGTCTCATTCACTTTTAGTTTTCCTTTCGTTCAATAGCGGGGTCTCGTACTTTTTCAGTTTTGTTGTTGATCAATTGTTACGTCAGTGTCTTGTGCACTTTTAATTTTCCACGCTGTTCGATTGTTACGTTAGTATCTCGCTCACTTCAAGTTTCCTTTCTGCCCGATTGTTTCGTTAGTATCTCTAACGGTTTTAGTTTTCCGTTATGTTTGATTTTTGCGTTCCGTTATATTGAGTTTTAAGTTTTTCTTGTCGCCCAACTGTTGAGTAAGCATCTTGCACACTTTTTGTTTTTTTTGTTGCTCTAATGTTACATTGGTATTTCGCTCACTCTTAGTGTTCCGTATTGGCCAGATAAAACGATCGTGTTTTACCTTTTGCCCGATTGTTATGCACACATTTAGTTTTGTAAATAAAGGAGGCAATTTTAAGCCTAGTGATTTAACTAAAGGTACATTTTATTTAGTGAATGACATAGGCGTCATTGGAAAGAGGAAAATAGAGTGAAATTGACGATTGTAAATTTTATCCCCGGAGATTTAAGCGGAAGAAGAAAAAAAACCTACGACCTTCCAATTAGGACTCTGGACACTCTAACAACGAAGTATAGGATACCCATTGCAAGCTAAGCCGTTAAATTAGATCCATGATAACTAACTTCCTGCATACTGTGATGCCAGCGTGATTCGTTACCACTGATTCCAGTTAAGTCTTATAACTTGCATGTTAAACGAAATGCTTAACGTAGGAAAAGACATATTTAACCCAACTATTCACAGTCTGAACCTCTCCATTATTGATGTCATATAGATTTATATTAATGAGATTGACATTCAATGATTTTTTTGAGCTAAGAAAAAACATTGAGTCGACGTGAACATGCCATACAAAATTATTTGATAAGACATGCGGGAAGAAATGGGTCGATACAATAATTCTGCAGCTTTTGACACGGTGGATCACAAGATTCTTCTGCAGAGACTCTCTCGTCGCTTTGGTATTAATGGAAAAGCCCTGCGCTGGTTTAAGTCTTACCTTGAGAATCGTAAACAAGTAGTCAACGTGAAGGGGGCAACATCGTGTAGCAAGGACCTGCGGTGGGAAAGCGTACTCCGAAATCCGTCAAAAGGAGGTCATCTCGGGTAGATCTCCAATTACGAAATCGGAGCTCCCCCGATGTTGTGCTCGTGATAAAGGCCCTATTTAGCATTTTTGACCCGCATAATAGAGTAGAAAGGAACATGTACTTCGTTTTTGCTCATGACTTCGTATTAGCGTTAAGATATTTGCATTTTTTTTTCGTTACTAACCTATATTACAGACTCCACAAAATTTTTGCGATGCCTCCTTTTCACGGATGGCCGATCACAACTACAACATAGTGACACCTCCACGAAATCTGTCAAAAGGAGGATGTTAAAACACCGGAAATGGAGAGGAAAGATAAATATTACGGTCGATTAACTCCCAGACAATTGAATGGTTCAAACTCGCAAAGGCGGGAAATTTGTTATCGTCCGAGATATCAAAGTATCTGTTTCCTCACTCAATTCGTATTCAGCGTTCGGCCGTATTCCAATCGATAATTTCGCTTTCTGAAAAAAATTTCCAATTCTATGATGGCACGTAAATTAACTTCTCAAGAAGTGAGTTCCTTGTTTGAGAGAAAAATGTCTGAAAGGTCAGGTCTGGTGAAGGATGTCATGTCAGCAGAGTTCATTCTTCGAGAGTATGAAACTGCTACCGTCACCAAAACTGCGAAAGAGCCCTTAAGCAGGAAGAGAAAAATAACCATTAATTTAGCATGTAGCATTAAAAACTGATTCTCAGAACATCCCATGAATTGTTTATTAAGATAATCGTCGAAGTGAAATACATCTATGTTGTAATTTTTATCTAAGTACAATTCAGCTAAAAGAATTTTAAAACCTATTCATAAGAAACTGTTTCTTTTAGATCTTTCCCTAAGTACGCTCTTGCATTTAGAATTGAAAATCCTCATCTAAAATATTGTAAAAATATTATCGTGAAATATTTTCAATGATATCATGGCACAACGCAGATAGAGAACATGTAATAGTTGAGACAAGTCACGGATTATCCTTGTCGGTAAACAACGAAAAAAAAGAGCAAATATCTTACGGCTAATACGAAGTCATGAGCGAAAACGAAGCACGTGTTCGTTTCTACTCTGTTTTGCAGGTCTAATACGCTAAATAGGGCCTTCATCACGAAGACAGAATCGGGTGAGCTCGGATTTCGTAATCGGAAATCTACCCGAGATGACCTCCTTCTGACGGATTTCGGAGTGCGCTCTCCTGGGGAGTGGCGTATGTATTGTGCGCGTCCCCGCTTGGCGACATTGTCAGAAGTCGTGGCCCATCATGTCATTTCTACGCTGATGACACTCGGCTTTACTGCTCATTCAAGCTTCATGATCAAGCGGCTTCAGTGCAAGCAATTGAGTCTTGTTTAATTGATATTGATGCATGGATGCTTGCAAACATGTTAAAACTGAACAGGGATAAAACTGAGCTCCTAGTGATTAGACCAAAGCACAAAGTCAACTCACCTATTAAGGGTATTCATGTGGCTGGTGAACACATTGAAGTCTCAAATAATGCTAGAAACATAGGTGTAATTTTTGATTCCCATGTCAACTATGAACACCTACAAAACGTCCTTCTATCATTTACAAGATATAGCAAAGATAAGAAACTGTCTCTCTCAAGATAATGCTGAGACACTTGTTCATGCATTTATTTCATCTGAGTTGGATTTCTGTAATGCCCTCGTATACGGCTTACCCCAATTGGTTATTGATAGGCTACGGTATGTACAAAACTGCGCGGCTCGACTGGTGACTGGAACTCGAAGCTTAGAACATATAACACCAGTTCTTCGTAGACTACACTGACTACCAGCCAGACAACGAATTACGTACAAAATACTACTTCTTACGTACAAAATACTACTTCTTACGTACAAAGTACTGAATGGCATGGCGCCAAAATATATAGCAGATCTCCTTCAGCCCTATACTCCGACGAGGCGATTACGATCTTCTTCAAAAGATCTCTTTGTAACACCAAAGCCTAATCTCAAGTTTTACGGTAACAGATCTATTCAAGTTTCTGCGCCCAGGCTCTGGAACTCCCTAACCGATGACATAAGATCAATCCAGAACCTTGATGTTTTTTATTGTATATATTTTCCTTAGTTAATCTTAGCAAGTCGATTGTATCTTATTTTTTAGAAATTAACTTCTATAACTGTTATATATTTTCTTTAATAATTCATTTTTTATTTTTATTTTTTAGAATTACGATGATTGTAAAGCGCCTTTGAGTTCACGGAAAGGGCGCTTTATAAATTTTTGTATTATTATTATTGTATTATTAACAATTCAATTCAGTTGGAATTTATGTATTATCCGATTCAATTCTAATTTATCTCCTGGTTTAAATATTGTTCTGACGTGAGCAATCTTCCAGATGTTTGGAAAAGTACCAGTTTCAAAACTCGATTCATTATATAGGTTAAGGATTCAACAATTTCGTTGACACAAATTTTCAGAAGTCTGATGAGGACTTTATTGACTCCTGTACCTTTATTAGCAGACATTGACTTTATTCATTTCTTGACAAAGCTGTTTGTCATTGGTGGAAGAGAGAACAGTTCTCCAGTCAGTTTCTTCTTCATAACAAATTATTCCAATTTTTGAAAAGTGGGTTTTCCCTGGAGACTTTGATGGAGGTACCTCTGGAGAATGTTCAGAGGCATAGAGTACATGACTCTGGTTTTTGGCTTTAGACCACATGACTTTGTTTTGTTTTTCTTTAATTCCATTTACAAGATGTTGTGCCATATTCTATTCAACCAAGATGATTCCTGTTAACTATCCAGCTATACTCTAAAATCTGAAAGGTTGTACTACAGGGTTAGTTAGGCAACTGAAAAAGTGAAGTGACAAAACAGACAGACTTTGTGATATCAAGATTGATAAATTCAAAAAGAGTATAAATTGCTATGTCCTCTTAGCATAAGCCATGTTCATGGGATTTTCTGGTGATTTCATCCATTCCTTCTTGAGTAACTGTTTTATTTGAGATAACCGCATGTTAGGATTTTCTGTTTTAAGCTTTGGTAGTTCACGCTCTTCAAATGCATTATATGCTGCTTTCATTCTCTTCTCTGGGTGCCGGTCAGTGGGAGTAGTTTTGCTGACATTTAGTACAGCTATGGCATCTTCTACAGAGCGTGCTTCTACAGATCCTTCAGCTGCCAATAGTGCTGCCATCTGCTGATTAGGGTTTTCTTCAAGAATATCACTAGTATCCTCATCTGCTTTTTTAGTTTTAGCTGTTGCAGAGGCAGCTGCGACAGCTTTTCTTTCACGTTCTGCCTGAATCTCTGCAACTGTCATTTTAGCACGAACACTGGAACTTGGCTTTGGCAATTCACTTTCTTCAGCTTTCAGGGCTTCTTGGTTGGCTATCTTACGCTCTGTTGCTTCTTGCCGTTTGCGTTCTTTATCATCCTTCATGAGAAGAGCATAAAAAGCAAGATTAATCACTTCATTTGAGCACTAATCCAAACTGTAACAAAATTCTTGAATGTGATTGGTTATCACAAGTGTGATTTGAGCACTAATAGGGTAGTGTATGCCTCATGCTTGTAATTGGAAAGTGTAACTGGACAGTACAACAGGACAGATAAAGGGACCATTTACACTTCATGCCTGTGTTAGAGGACAGGATGCATCATGTGAGCATGCTGTTGTCTTGCATTTTTCTGAGTTAACTGTTGCTTTTTTTCATGAAAATGTATACTAGTAATTGTTGTCTAGTTTCTTTCTCAAATTTTTTCATACTTTTGATTCATTGGTATCAGGAATTCATGTCACCCAATTCTGTCTGTAATCATACTCATAATTAACAAATTAGAAGACTGTAAAGGGAGAATCTGATTTGTTAATCCCAAGTATGATTACAGACCAAATTGGACTCCACTCAATCCTATAACCAGAAGTCAAAATAAGACTTTGAGCCAAATTCTAACCTTTAATCTGTTAACATTTATCTAATAGCCATGCATTCAATGCTTGACAATCACACTGCTCCACAAAACATTAATTTATTTGGCATGATAATAATGAAACTACCTTAAGTAATCAAAACCCCCAAAAAGTATGTACACAGAACTAAGACTGGGTGTGACAAAAATGCAGAGCTCGAACTTTCTTCAAAACTCAGACCTCTGAAAAACTCAGAAACTTGGGTGACTTGAAAACTCAGACCCCCTCATTCCCACTAAGTTAAGTAATTTCAAAATTTATTGTACTTAATGATTTAAACAGCAAAATTTAGAACAGTCATTATTTAGCTTTGGTCACATCTAGAATAAAGTCAAATGGGGAAATCAAAAAAATTGCTGGGCTCATGTTCATGAAATCAAAGAAATAGTTACAAAATTTCTTAAAGAATAAGGGTCCTTGGGGAGAAATGTGTGTTGTGTGATACTTGTCACAACACAGTGACTGGATACTCAAGTTTAAAATTTTACCATTAACATAATTTCAAATACTTGGCCAAGAAAATATCACATTACAAAGACGGAATACTTCTAAAATCTACAACTAACTGGCAAACAAATGATTTGAGGGCTGAATTGAAATAGTCTGTCCATAACCACAGTACTCACTCACAGTCATGGATTGTTTAATTCATGTTAATCATTAACTGCCTCATTAATCTGCCACGTTATGTTGTTTTTCACACCCCCACTTTTTTAAACCAACTGTTTTTTCACTAAAACAATAATGATAGTTCTTTCATACTCTCATTTTACTGTGAGACCAAAGTTAGCCTTTCCTAAATGTATGTAAATGTACAAATGGTTGAGTGTGATGAATCTTGAAATTGCACTAGTAAGCCAGAATTAGAGGGTCTGAGTTTTTATCTGGGTGTGAGTTTTGAGACACCTTGGGATTTATGTCTTTTTTGTGGGTCCGAGGTTGCCGTTACTTCTCTGTTAATATCTGTGTGGAGAGAGTTGTTAGCTCTGTTTTGTAGAACAAAAACAAACTACCAGTACAGGTGTCAAACCTGGCCTCTTGATACTGAACAACAAAATAAAACTGGGTAAAATTTCCGCACAGCCCCATCCTACATTATGCATTCAGTTCTTGGATAGAGAAAACAACGACAAAAACAATACATTGCCATTGGGAAAACAGATTTGTTTAACAATAGCATGGGGCTATGCGGAAATTTTACCTAAAACTGCAGGGCCCTTCTATACCCCCAGACTTTAAGGAGCTCAGTCACATTGAATCGATTGCGAAAAATTTTACCCTTAAAATTATTTATCAGAGGCATGTCCTCTTCGTTCGAGTCTAATTGTCATTTCAAAACAACTTCCAAGCGATATTACAGAGATGTAATCTTTATCTCGTCCTTTTCGCAATTAATATTCAAATTTGAAATGTCATTTGTCTTGATTTTAAATCTACCAACTGACCACAACAACTGCCGTAATTCACCTACAAACAAAAGCGCACCTTCCTTTGCTGTTTCTTCATCACATGTTTATCATTATCCTCCCAGTATTTATCTTCTTCTTCCCTCTGTTTTCTCTCTTTTTCTGCAAGTCTAACAGCATCTTTCCTAGCTCTAGCTTCCTCTGCCTTTGAATTTGTTCCTTTAAACTTTTTAGGCATCCTCGGACAGTGTACTGAGGAAGCTTCTCTCGCTACTGTTTGTGTCTTCAAGGAATAGCTTTGTAACCAGGCCTTACGAAGAATGATGGCGGTCCCAAGTGGGCCGAAATTCACTCATTTAAAAGATGAAACCAGGGACAATCTGGTGGCCATATTGAAATCGGTAAGTGCTTGAAGAATGTTTTCTTTGACTTAAAACAGCAAATGATTGGATAGATCTTATAAACGGCTTTCGGCTTTTTCCGCAAATCGAGCCTTGACAGTTCTCTCCAGCAGTGTTAGCACGACGATATAAACCTGTATAAACTTATAAATCTACTCTCCCTAACAGCACCAGGTAGTCGGCTGAGTAAATCTATGTGTTATAACAAATTCTCTTTAACATCATGCGATACGCAACGCAGTTCGGGTTTAATGGTTTATTTCAAATATCATTATATTGTGTAAATTCTGAAGCCTGGTATGAGAAGCTGTCAAATTAATTAATTAAAGAATCGGATGCAAGTATCAAAAATGTAGAATACTTTAGAGTAACTGTCAGGGGCTTTAGTAAAATATGGAGTGATTGGTGAGAAGATGTTCTGCCTCATGTAGTAGACAACGGTAGTGAAGAAAACGAAGACCCCGAAAGCGAAAACCTAAGACCCCAAAACACGAAAACGAAGACCCCAAAAAAAGAGCGAAAAAGGCTCCCCGATTGTCATAAATTACCATAGAAACATGACCTTTAATATTCTTGGCAAAGAATAGAGTGTTAAATTGTAGGGATCAGTTGTTTTCGAGTCTGTTTTTTGCCACAGCAGGACCACGTTATTCAATCTGTCATTTTCTAGCTTTTGCCTCAGCAGGACCCCAAGCATAATCGGTGCTATCCGGTCATTGACCGAATGGCAATGACCAGAAAGCATAAGCTTTCTGAGCAAGGCATGAAGTGCTGATAACAAAAAAAGAGTCTCTTCTTCTTACTGCGTAATGATCTTGTGGTGCTGATGGCCCACAGTCAGCAGTCTGCAGCTACCCACCAGAAAGCTCCGATTACGCTTGGGGTCATTGTGGTGAAAACAACAGATTGAATAATGCAAGACACAGCGTGTGTATAAAGCTCAAAGATCGAACATGTAAAGATCAAATTTGGCTCCTCTGCTCCCTATAATTTAACATTCTATTCCTTGCCAAGAATATTAAAGGCCATGTTTCTTTGGTAATTTACAATAATTGGGGAGCCTTTACTTTTTCATTCTGGGGTCTTAGTTTTTGTTTTTTAGGGTCTTCTTTTTCATTTTTTGGGGTTTTTGTTTTCGTGTTTTGGGGGTCTTCATTTTCATGTTTTGGGATCTTTGTTTTCGTTTTCAGGGGTCTTAGGTCTACAGTCTTCGCTTTTGTGGTCTTTGTTTTCTTCACTACCAGTAGACAACACACAATTCATGTGTTAAAGCACACCTTCCCCCCCTCCCACCTCCTAAGGGGGAATTTTAGATGTTTCCCCAACAAATGTAAAGACATTTTGAGGTTCTGCAATGCTTTCTTGAGCAGTCTTGTGTATGTTAAGTGACAAGGTGATGATTATATTAGTAAACTTTTTATAGCAGTTGCTTTCTTTAGATTTTAATGAATGAATATAATTGGGCTAACATCCCTGTTACAGCTAATTTGGCAACTTAGATCATGTGATAATTCCTTAAGTGGGTTGCAATTTTGTTTTGTTTAAATGTACACCCAAGTACCTTGCTACATGTGGGGATTTGCACAGTAGTAACCTCTGTAAGGAATAATGGTGTGATCTGGATTGGGTGGAAACAAAAATGTAAACAAGTTAGCTGGATCTGTCTGTCACAGAATGTACAGTCAGGTAACTGTTCACTTCTTAAACACATAGTGTTTTGTGACCAATGGATGGCCAAGGAAATGAAAACACTTTTTTTTTCTTTATTTTAATATAGCCAGTTGTTGGTGCATATTAACTAGAACTCTTCATTGTGAATTTTTTTATTTCCAAACTTAACCCACAGGTTCCAGAAATGAAAGACCTTGTCATTGATCCTCAGTTGATGAAACCATTAGATCACTTCACAGGTGCATCTTTTCTAAAGGTGACAAACAGACCTTGCAAATAAGTGTAATTTTCATTGGCAATTTTGTCTTTCAACCATTAGATTTATGGGGAAGGGTCTTCAAACTGCAATAAATTCTGGCTAGGTCGAAGTTTTACCCTTCATATTAACCCAAGACAGCCTATTTTCCACCAGTTGTACTTTTTCCTATGCATGGTATTGGTTTAGTGATCCTGTTCAGTAACTAACAGTGAGGAGGTTATTGAGGAGATTGACCAGCATCTAATTTCTCCTTGCAACATCACCCTGAATCCTAATAAGGTCATGAGAATGAAGGAAATGGTCACCAGCTAGAGAGGCTCTTGGTTTTCAAACAAATTCTTCTTGTTTGCTCTTTAGGAAATGAATAGAGCACAGCATGGAGAAAATGCATACTGATGTTAGGCTTTAGAGGGTTATAGAGTTGCAGGACATTATATTTTCAAGAAGTTTTCAATCCTTCATTGTTGTTGGTCACTAGAAAGTAAAAGAGAGTGTTTCACAAAATTTATTGCAATGAAAGTACATGATTTGAAATTAATTGTCAAAGGGCTGGTGGTATGTTCAAACAGTAAAATCAAGCCTTTCATGTTGAGGCTTGTAGATTTTTTCTTTCATATTTACTTTTTCAAGCCAACAATTAAGTCCATGATTCAGGAAATTCAAACACTAAAGATGTACTCTTATCAGTTGATATAAATTGTAAATTTTTTTTTAGGAACATGGTGTTAACAAGATATTTAAATTGGAAAGTGGTAAACTTGAAGTTGGTGGAGACAAGTGAGTGATTGAAAAATTAGCCATAAACTAAGGAAATGTTCCAACTGCTGGTAGAGGCTAGCCAAATGTGGGAGGTTGTTCACTTCCAGCTATTAGGGAACTTGAGAAAACCACAACTATGATTGTAAAGAGAGAATGGCAAAAGGAAAGATCTAATGGGCCGAAAAATAGCTCTGCATGTGCATTTAAAAACTTTGTTCATTTCTTAGCCCTCCTCTGCAAAAAAGATGTGAAATACAAAATTAAGGCATGGTGCTGTAAGAGACAGTAAATACATCAAGCCAGTAGCCAGATTCTAACTAAAAGTATCAATTCAGTTTTTGATTGACATCTGCATGGAATTGTTGTCCTAACTGCTTAAGATCCCTACAAGGTGGACTCCTGACATCTTAACCCTTAAACTCTCTTTAGTGACAAACTTTCTCCTCACAGTATCAATAAACAATCAAGTGGAGAAGTAATGAGAGTAAAGTAACATACTAATTAGAGGATTATTAACTGTTCCAATACCAAGTTATACAAACAAACATTACAAGAATTGCATAGCAGACAATAAGGAGAACTACTAATGAGATCTTGGGGGTAAAAAGGTTAATATAGTTTATTTGATATAGTAATAATGATACTGTTTAATAATATTATAACAATTATGTGGATATTTACTCTTTTTATGACTTTTGAAACAGTGTAAACTTATTAGCTATTGGTAAATGGTTTGAACATGTATGTATTATAATAATTCAGTTGAATTTGGCAAGAGACTTCTGCTTGACTATTAACTCAAAGATTGTAAATATTTGTTCAAATTTCCACACAGGAGAATTTACTTGCTGAGACCAGAGCTTTTATCAACAAAATATGTTGCTGGTAAGTGTCCCCAACAATTAAAATTTCAAATGAAAGTTAATTGAAAAAAAAAACCACAAAAATTAATTTACAATATCATTCATGTATGTACAAGCAAACAGTTTTCTGAGACAGTTTTCTAGTATGTTTCTGGAGTACAGAAGATATACCAGTAGTCTTTGTGCAAGGTAATGATCCTATTTCATATGCTGTCATGGTTTTTTTTCTCTCTAGATCATATAAATAATGACAAAATGAGTGGGAAAAACAGGTCATATAAAATTGTGTTTGTTCCAAGGAAGGTATGTCTTTGATTTCTTTTAATTTCTTTGTTGTCTCAATGTAACTAAATTTAATTCACCTTTTCTGGTGAAACTGGTTTTTCCAAAAACATTTAAACCAGATTGGTGTAAGGTTTCTATTGTTTTTGGCTCATTATCTAAAACTGACTTTGGACAACATTTTTGAGACTTACTGTATTTATTTGTGTAACACTTCTTCCTGTGCAAACTATGTGGGTGATGTAATATACTTCCAGTAAGAACTGTGTGAGTTGTGAGTCACCATGTGGTCTGGTCTTGATATTGAAACACCCATCCACCTTACATGTAGGTCTGTGGGAAAGGGAGGGGGAGGTGGGGGTTGATAGGATAGAAAGCAGACTGTAATTTGTATGAAATCCAAAACCCAATTTTTATCTCTACAAGTTTTATCCAAGATTTTAGCTTCATGAAGAATAATTAGTTTTATGGTTAAGGTTGGACCACTTTATACTACATTCAAGTGCACAGGACTAAAATGATCTTTCACTCCACTTTTCTCAGTAATACTATAATTTCAACTTTTCTGCACTATTCTTGGGGAAGAGAGAGGATGTTTCTGAAATTACTTGATGGGCTAGTTTTTTTTACACCAGTGCTTGAACTCAACTTTTGAGCTCAATAGTCAGATGGCTAGTACATGGTCAGGATTTACTTGTAAGATTGCTCATAAATGAGCAAAATCCACATATAGCTGAAATTTAAAATCCACTGGTATTTGGCTGGTAGACCACCACCAGGTTGGAGCTCTGTATGCATTGCAATAACAAGTAAAAATGTTGTGTTCCTGTAGTTGTACTCTTGTGAGGTGATTTTGGAGCAGGAAGGAGTGTATGGAGGTAACATTGGGAATTGATTAATTACTATTAGATTAACTATATAAGCAATTTGGAGCCATTGCCAAGGAAGATGTTCAGTTTCCAGTAGATTTTAAGGATAAATATGACCAACAAAGTAATTATTTTACAGGCATGCATTATGATTAACTCTTTAAGGGAAGACATGGTATTTTAATTAAAGTTTAATTATATTTTTTGTGATAAAAGATAGGTAACAGTAGTTTTTGTTGAAGTAAATTAATTCATATGCATTTCTGAAGAAGGTTAAATAGTCAAGATGGCAACATAGTAGCCAAGTTATAGAATTCAGCTTTCTTCATTTTTTAGTACTGAGACAAAATCAAGGGTAATTTAAAAGAAAAGTGTAAAAAGGCAAATATTGAAAACAAATGAGGCAAGTACTCAGTCATCTTGATTGTGTAAGCTTTGTCTGTAGGAGATTTATTGTACTGTCAGCAAGATGTTTTCATAAACAAATTGCAAAATGGATCTCTTAAACTTGTGTTGGTTTTCTTTGTCTTTGCTTTCCTTACAATGTGATTTGCAAATCCATTGCTGTAAAAGTTGATATTTATCATAATATTACAGAAAAAAGTTTCTCAGAAGTTATAGAGTATGTAAACTGGCTGGCTACAGATAGTTTTCCTTAGGGATTACAGAGCAAGATCCTGTGTTTCAAAAACTATAAGCCAATTAAAATTTTACAAAATGATTAGAATAAGAAATCCCTTATTTGATGGTTGAACATTAATATGTAATACTGGCAGACATTTTGCTCATTGCTTGCATTTTTCCTCACCCAGGACTTGGAAAAATAGTACTCAACTTGCAAAATATCTGCCTGTATTTATATGTTAATAAATCAAGTAAGGTAAACTGTATACTTATTGTACTAAAAACAAATATATAGTTGCTTCGTATAGATACCCAGATCTGGATGTTTAATTCAATCCTTATGAGAGATTGTACCATCTGTCATTGGTTCAGGATTTAACTGATTCTTCAATTTAATTTATAAAACAATAAGTTTTTCTCAGAGATGTGTGTAAGTCATTCTTAAACCTTTTCAGTGCTCAAAGAGAATCTGAGATGATATGTGTACTAATTATCAGTATTTGATTACATTTTTGAGTAGTGTTTGTCACTTTTTTTAAACTATAAAAATATATTGAATTTTTAGTATTAATGTGGATGTTTCTCTTTGATTCAAGATGTATCTTTTGATGAATTTCAACTGGGATTTATTCCACTTGATGAAGATGTACTGACGTTGGAAATACCAAGCTTTCTCAAAGATTATTTCTTGGTGAGATTTGGCTGTTAAAAGGTCTATTTTCATAATGTTTATTAGATGACCACTCTTAAGGGGGAATTGGCCAGTTCTTACTAAGGAGGAGATTATTAGAAATTATCATTGTACACAATCATGTGATTGTAAAGTTCAACTATTTTGTACAAGAAATATCCATAACATTTTTCTCACTGCTTCAGGATAGTGGAGACTTGTTACTTATCAGCCTCTTCCTCTGGTACTTAACCCTTCAACTCCCAGAAGTGATTATCATGTAACTTCTCCCTACAATATCCATTCAGTATCCAGCAAACATGTAATGATAAAATTCACACTTGAGGTAGAAGATGTAACCTTGATCTAACACCATAATTATTCTTGTCACTGATTTACAAATGTGTAGCAGCAAGATGAGGAAATTATCAATTAGATCTTGGTAGTTAAATTGGGTTAAGGTTCATCCCCATCAAACTGCTTAGATAGTGTAGAAGAGCATGGGAAGGCTCGATTGGAGCTCCTGAAGGGGCCAAATGGGTGCAGTTTAACATATACTGAACAAAGCTGACAGTAACTCCACTCATGCTGAGTTTGAAGAAACCCCGTGTCAGGTCATCTGTGGCAAGAAGATGTCTCTGCTTGTTTTCTGACACTTGCTCACTGGACTAGTGATGTTGTGTTCCAGTTCCAATGGGAAAGATGGATTTTATAGGTTTTTTTCCCTGGGTGACCACTGATATAGCTTTGATGGTGATTTTCAAATTCAGCACATTTATTAGACATAAGTGAAACTTTGAAGTGATGCACCGCATAAATCATTTCATTTTACTGAAACAGAATAAAATATCTATTTCTGCTCCAGGATGGTGACCAAACATCACTTTCTTTTGTTGCTTGTTCTCTGATGAATCTGCAGAGATGGTATGGTACAATCCCAAGTACATATGGCCTAGGAAACTGTGCTAAGGTAACAATAAGATGTTTTAGATATTAACTCAAACTGCACCAAAAAAAAATTGGTTTCAGATGTTAAACATTTTATCATGAGAGTGGTTATCTCAGATTTGTTTTGGAATGTTCTCAGTTACAGATGGCACATTTCAAACTGTGTCACTGCAGGTTTAAAGGAAACCACATTGAATATAAATTTTGTCACTGATCTTTTGGTAATGATTTCTAGATGGTTGGAGAATTGCTTAAAAATATGCTGGATGAGGAAGGAGACTATAAACCTGTTGATGGTCCTGAAATAGGATCCCTTATCCTTATTGACAGAGGTGAGTATCAGACAGCTGAATTTGACTGTTTTGTGTTGTGTACTATATATGATCGGAAAAAAGAAAAGAAAGAAAGAAATTAGAATGTCATGTGGCTCAAAGCCACAATTTGGAAGTGCATTATTTACAGTCTATGTATGAAGGCAGGTGCAATGGTGTGGTAGGGGTTTTCTCTTTTCTGTCAAGAAGTATAGGTCTATGACAGTAAAGATTTGGCAGAAACTGGGTTACATATTGACAAGTTATATTACCAGACAATGCTTTTTTGTTTAATTTAAATTTTATCAAGAAAAGTAACTTTACCACATGACTGTTCACCTTTTTCTTTTGCTCATTGAAAAGAGAGTAATGTGTAACACAAATCATTTTCTAATTTTCAAATAGGAGTGGACTTTGTTACACCACTCTGTTCTCAAGTCACATATGCAGGAGTTCTTGATGACACCTTTGGCATTAGAAGTGGTATATAAACATCAATAATATTATAAAAATGGCCAATTTGTCATTCAGTCAATCAGTCATGTATTCAGTCAGTTAGTTGGTCAGTTAGTCAGTTGTTTGGGGAGTCAGTCAGTGTGTCAGTTGTAACATGACATTGTAGTGTGTCAGTTGGTACATCAGTCAGTCAGATAGTCAATAGGTCAAATGAATAAAGGGGTAAGTTTCTAAAGAAACTGTGGTGCTGCGTCGGTGGGAGAGTATAGCAGGTAATTTAGTGTTAACAACTGGGTTGAAAATGTAAATTAGCCACCGTAAAGAGTAAAAAAGCTGACATTTCGAGCGTTAGCCCTTCATCAGAGCAATGGTCAAGTAGTTAGTTAGTTAATTAGTCAATAGGTCAGCTAATCAGTCAGCCATCCTGTAACTCCTAGTGCCAATAGGGACAGTTGATCAATTCTAAAGTTCCAAAATTGGTTTGAATAAATGTATCCAGGAATTGTGGAGCACAGGAAAATTGGTCATTTAGATACTGGTATAAAAATTTTTTTTAAGATTGTGATTTTAAGTTTGTTTCATATTTTACATTATGGAAACGTTTTGGAGCATATGTTGAACATGTCTTGAAATCATTAATGTACTTGTGCATTAAAACTTGAGCAGAATGTGAATGATGACCTTTTTCCCTCAAGTTTCACTGTATCTTTTCGTTTTTCCTGAAGGTGTGGTGGAGTTTGGACCAGAAGTCACTGGTAAAGATCAGAACACTAAGATGTTATTGAATGACCAAGACTTGGTGAGGTTTGCTTGACATTTAACACAACATTGTACCACAAATGATTATTAATTCTTAAAACACACATGCAGAATTTGAAAAATCCTGGGGTCAATTTAATGAAGAAAATACAATTGTAGCTTTTACTTGTGTAATTTACAGGGGTACAAAGTTGGACTTGTACAGTAAATGCAAGGATTTGATTAAACAATATTCCACCATGGAATTTTACATGTATATTTTGAGTCAGTATAAAAGACATTGTAAATTACAATTGTAAAATTAAACAAGAGGGTGTCAATGGTGTGGTGGATTTTAAGGATACTGGCTCATTTCTTCCCGTTAATTTTAAAACAAAGTTTTTTTATGGTTAATTTTTTTACAACTAACAGTTAAAATTTGTCAATTTTCACTCCTCGTGGAAATTTTTTTAGCTGTTTCACATCTTACAGTTAAGCTTATTGAGACCCTCTTACAACTGTAGACTCTGCTTGAATGCAGGTGTATCTTTAATATAATAATGCAGTTAAAAATTGCTGCTTTCCTTTCAATGTATGTGGCTTTGTTTCGTTTGCTTACAATTGTATTCTTGAACAGTCATTGAGCATGTTATCCAAACAGCAAAAGTCGCTTTTGGCTCAGCTTGTGAGGGAACATAAGATAATCTATCTTTTTGGTGCCACTTTCATCAAGAATGATGAATTAAGTAAAGTAAGCAGTGTGGGAAAAGATTTGCACACAATTAAATGGTGTTGGTGCAAACATAGACAATGGCCAAACCCTCCGATGTTTTATGGGCCAAAATTTGCAGGCTTGGTCTACACTCAAAAAAGGAAACAAATCAAAGAAGACTGGTGCAGGGGGGATAGAAGGAATTTGTTGCAAGGAAGTGGAGAAATACTAAAAGTTGCTTTCTTGCTGTTACTCCATGCTCTGTTATGTCTTGTTCTTTGTTCCAAATGCAGGCCTATTAATTCCAAAAGGTAGATGGAGGTGTCCACAGGCAGATGAAAGTTCTCTTGAAGTTCCCTTGGATCTTCATAGTTGAAAAGCTGTCTTTTTTGGAAATTCCTAGTTTGGCAGATAACTTGATGTCACTGCAGCTAGTCAGAGCTTAGGAGAGTTCCCTACCAGTATAATTTTACATGTTCTGAATGATTAATTGGTTATTTCTTTCCATTAATGTGTTCAGGTGTTTTGTGACATTAGAGATCGTCATTTTTCCAATGTGTTTGGGTATCTCAGTCAGAAGGCAAAGGATGTTCAATCTGGATATGATGTGAGTCTATGTTAAATTTATCAATGACAAAATAAGCCTGAAAACATTCTGACAAACAACACATTAGTGAAATATTCTGACATATTTTTGTTGAAAGAGAGTGGGGTGGTCTGTTGTGGTCTTTTGTGGTAAGTTACATGTTGATAGACATCCACATTGAAGTCATTTTTCATGCCCATAATGTCTCTTCACTGGGGACTGTTATTGGTAGATGATGAAATGTTACTAGGTATTGCTATGCATGTGATGAATCCAGCAGAAATAGCAATATCTTCAGGCTTTTTCTGAGGCACAAAGCTCAGCTAGAAGTGATCAGGCACCAATTCTGTGGCACATTCAGTCATGAAAGGCACTCACAATCTTTAATAGTTTTGTAGATGTTTTAAGTCCTGCCATTGATAGTAGGGAAAAATGCTTTCTTCTTGCTTTGATTTCTTGTTCTTATAAAGAATTTCTTTATTCACAGAAACGACAACAGTTATCAACAGTAAGTGACATGAGGCAGTTTGTGTCTTCTGAGCTGAGAGGACTGAGACAACAACACAAAGGATTAACTTTACGTAAGTTGATATCAACTAAAAAACTCATTTACACAGCAGTATTTTCTCGTATGCATCTAATCTACCTCAGATGTGAAAAGTGTCTTCCAGTATCAACTGTTAATGCTTTTGAAAAACAGAATTTGTTTCCATAATAGGATACTAAATGGTGGTTACTGAGGTTGATCATTACGTGCAAATTATCACTAACAAAAGAGATTCTTTCTTTATGTTTTTTATCTTATTATTATTATTATTATTATTATTATACCGTAATTTCCGGTCGATTACCCGCGGGTAATCTGTTGATTTTGCATTAAATCCGCGCCACTGCGGGTAATAGGGAGGTGCGGGTTATGTGACAATTTTAAATTCTTCTGGAAGTTGAATTGAAAAAATTTCTCACCTACCTGCGTTTCCACCTCTCAAATGAATTTTATTGTATCAAAAGTGCCACAAAGCGGCACGAAAACATGATGCCAACTCGAGTTTATTTCACGCATAATTAGTTGCGTGACAAACAAATTTTTATCGGCACGCGTGAAAACAAAACCTTGATGGTGACAAAAATAATCCAAGGATATCCGGCGCATCAGTAACAAATTTCCAGTTTTCACTAGCTTGAGCTAAAGAGAATTTTCCCGTTTTAAGGGACTTGTTAGGCCCAGTAGAACAGGAGATATCGATTTTTTTGAGAAATTGCCGACAGTAATTTTAAATCCCAAATGCATCACTAGAATGTTGAAAATAATAGGTGCGAAACTTAACTAATTTCGCGCTGAAAAAGTATTTTAACGACAAATGAACAATGGATATTGCTCATTACGCTCCTACATGCTATAAAAAGGTAACTGACTGAATAAGAATTATAAACCTCGATTATTCGCGATAAGTGTATCCACGAGTCACCAATTAAGTTAAAATGCCTGCTGTGAAACGCCCACGTCACAGTTTTACGTTTGATTATAAGCTTAGAGTAATAACTCTTGCCGATGAAATCGGTAATAGAGCAGCAGCAATAATCAATCAATAAAGTATAAGCTAATATTGACACAGAATTGTGCACATGTCTGAATCGAAAGACTGAAATGTATCGCCTTAATGTCACGTTTTCGCCACCGAAAAAGTTGAATAACAACGTGCGGGTTATCCACCGGTGCGGGTAATCCGTTGACTTTTTTTTTCGCCGTATGCAATAATCGGCCGGTGCGGGTAATCGGCCGTGCGGGTAATCGACCGGAAATTACGGTAATTATTATTGGAGGGGGGGTAGCTAGGAGGGGGGAGCTAGGAGCAGTATCAGGGTTTTAGAAAAAAGGTAAGGTATAGGTTCATATGGCCAAGCATTTCCAACACTGAAGAAGTAATAGGTTTTTATTCCTTCACTTGACAGATATTGGTGCTTGTGAAGTGGTACTCAAGACCAAGACTAAGGAGAACTTTGAAAGGAGGCTTCAAGCAGAACACAGTATGTAGATCAAAAAAGTTGTGTCTTTTCTGCTGTGGGCAAATTTTCTTTTAAACGATGTTAATTATTTTCTGTAAAAACAAAAGGAAATTATGAAATTAGATGTGTAATTTCAGGAGATGTTTTCGTGATAATTTACAGAATTTATATCATAAGTCTTTTCATTTCAGATATGTTGGAACTTATAGAAGATAAGGAGGATATTGATTATGCTGAAGAGAATATTATCAGACAGGTTTGTTCTTGGTTGCTTCTCACTACTGAACTAGTGGTTGAAATAAAGCCTGAAAACAATTCAGGCCCATACGGCCTGAATGTTTTCAGGTCTTATGAGAAATCAGGTATTTTGTACTATTAATCTTAGAAAAAAAAGAGTGTGCATTTTTGTGTAACTTATCTTGAAGAATGTAATACCAATAAGCCCTTCTGGGTAGCTTAGCCTGATACTTTATCTCTTGGCTAAGCTATGTCACTACAGCTCACTGGATCAGGATCTGTTAGAGGTAGATACTGCAAACGAAAAATCGTACATTGGAGGGGTAGCACCTGGCTCAGTGCACCTTTTGCCGGAAATGAAGTATTCGTTATTTCATTATAGGGCAATTTCTAATGGAAAGTCTTGTCTTGACTGGTTGACGCCAGTATTATGTTGTTAAATTATATATTTTTGTTCAACAGATTACTCCATTTAAAACACTGCAGCTGTTATGTTTGATGTCCTTAACTCGTGGAGGTGATTTTTTTTGTCTTTCCTTTTTCTTACTTCCTCTTACCCAAGAGTAAAACAAGAAGAAGATGAAATAAATTGAATGATATAAACGTGCAAATCTTGCTTGGATGGATACGTTTTGCTACTGCAGTTTGCATGTCTGCTTTGTTTCTGAGTTGTACCTGAGATTCTTTATCGATACAGCAGAAAGTTCTAGATAACTGTTCCTTGTGTCTTAGTTGTGGTTCTTCATGTGTTAAAAATTTTCAGGAGTTGAGCCCAAAGTGCACCGTAGTCTAAAGCATAAGTTCCTTCAGGTGAGTCCGTGTGTGGGATTTTCATCATCATTTTAACTTTAACTTTAATCAATTTACAGCAAATAAATATATGTACATACAAACATATAATTAATAGCTGATGGAAGACCTAGCAACAGGAATGAACTTCCCTAACGATAAAGGCCACCAGAAACTAAATGTATAAAAGAGAGAACAAAAGTAAAGTATACATAATTACAGGCAATATCATAAAACGAGTATGGTAAAATGCTACATGTTAAAACTAAGTGCTAACTAAAGTTAAGTAACAATCACTTTAAATCACTGCTATCGATAGCAAAAAAGTAGCGTCTTAGGTCATTTTTGAACATTGATAGTGATTCCCTTCTCCTAGTAGATATAGGTAAATTATTCCAAAGACGAGCAACTCTGGGAAAAAAAGAAGACCTTAATAATTCTGTTCTTGCATAGTTAGTTTTAAAGGTTAGTTCAGTGTTCCTTAAATTATAGGGTTCATGCTCAGAATCATAAAACTGCAGGTACTTAGAGATGTCGAGTCATAATAACTATGCAGGCATTTGAATAAAAAAATTAAGTCTAAATAGATACGTCTAGAAGATAGTGACATCAAACCAGTCTTATTCAAACGTTCTTTGTAAGGAATCCTATTCCCGACCATGAGCTTAGTCGCCCGACGTTGTACAGCCTCTACCATATCACTTAAATAAGCTTGATGAGGAGACCACACTTGACTTTAAAGAGTGAAAAGTGGGAATCAAAGCTGATGTTTCGGCAAATTAAATACCAAGAACAATTTGACTCACTACATACACGTATACGTCATACAAACGTATTGTAGTAGGTGGGATACAGGGTTACTTACTTGATCCACCTGATCCAACTGTACGTCATACATACTTATTGTAGTAGGTGGGATACCGGGTTACTTACTTGATCCACCTGATCCAACTGTTTTCTCATAATGCATGCGCTTCAGATTATTTACTCAAATTTTTACTTGTATGAACTTGCAAGAATTTGCCCGCGAAACAGATAACAAACTTCGCAGTTACGAAAGACTTTACTATGACAGAGAAGAAGGACGCAAAAAGAAAAGTCGAATCAAGTTTTTTGTGAGTAAAAATTGTTTTCACAAGGAAGCGAGAAGTGTAATTTTGTATCCACTCCTGGAAGGCAATCATCACACTACTCACTATGTTTGCAGCCTTGCAGAGTATTTTGCCTTCCCCAATTTATGCAGCTGTTAGTGCTGAGAATGAATATGTTATTTGTATTTCTGTTGCAGAGTTTTGGACACGAACACATGCTTACATTTAATTCTCTCAAGCAATTAGGGCTGTACACTGAACCAGATGTAAGTCAATTTATTATTTCACTTTTTTACTCTCTTGAAGGAAGCTTAATTCTCTGACACACTCCTTTGTTTTCATACCAGCTACTTGTCATTCAGTTAAATAGTTTTGTTTGCCTCATATTTAAGTAATTTCTAGTGTTGGTTCTTTGGGATATCATCCAATCCCGGATCAGCTTTTTGGCTCATTTGTGGGGTTGTTTTTCCAATAGTTTTAAATACCTACTTTAAGATAATAAATTGAGCAACAGTGAACAGTGTCTCTGAACTAGAACTGTTCTGTACGTGATTGAAATTTGTCATGTGATGAAAACGTTAACGACAGAAAATTTTCCCTGGATATTGATACTGTGTCCAGAGGCACTTCTTATTTTTTATTTTTTATTTTTTTCATTTCAATAGAAGAAAGGCACCTTTAAGATTCTAAGTAAACGACTTAGTCTGGTAAGTACATGTATGGCCAGCTCCACTGCGAATCCTGCCTTCTGATTGGCTAACCGAGCGGTCTTTGATCTCACAAAGTCTTTGTAAACAGTTGACATGTACTTTGTAACTTAAAAATACATTTTGTGCCGTAGGAAATTATTTTTCCACGTGCATTTACCGGTGGAGTCGCCTACAATAGAAAGTAAAAATAAAGGAAACCTCGACGAGTATCACGAATTTATTTTGCAGTTACTTGGTCTGGTCTCTCCACCGTAATTAAATACAATCCATTATTAACCCAGCTTATTCGGTCAAGATGGTGACATATGGGCGTCGTTCTTTTTTACAATTTCATGGACCTCGACCTCGGGCCACAAAAAAGAAAAGAAGAACTCGGCCGAGCAAGCTCGGTCAGTAACGCTCCTGTAATCATGTCTTGCTAGATACACGGGCAAGTTTTAAATCCGATATGCTAATATTGCATTGTTATCAATCTTTGGTTCCGACTGGTTCTGACTCCTTAGCTTTCGGACTGTTATTTACTTTAAGGTGCCAAAGGATGTTGGTAAGATTGATCTCAAGAATCCGCAAGACATGTCGTATGTCTTTAGCGGTGCGTACACTCCTATTTCCTGTAGGCTGATTGAGCAGGTAAGCTACTGCCTATCTAAGAGCTAAGAAATGGAAATGGAATGTTATCTTGATTACCCTCTATCGGTTTAGACTGTAAACCGGCCGTAAATATGTAGAGTTCTATTGTGGGCTAGCGAGAATATGTCGGGGAAAGGCTCGTGCTTCGAATTCAAATGATATATCATCGACTGAAAGTAAACGTGTATGTCGAGAACTGAATGGTTCTCGATTAAGGGAGAAATCAGAGGAATAAGCCTTGTAGTTTTAGACCTCTCTTGTGACGAAAAGTCAGTTTTAAGATGATTTGCTTAATGAAATGGACATGACGTGTTTTCACTTGTGGTTCTAAAACTTAAAAATCTTCCTGTTTTTCGAAGGGAAACTATTTTTGTTTTCGGCTAATTTCAGTCTTTCTGGAATTTTATTTAAAAGGTCCTGCTGAATGGTATATCTACATTTGAAGAAATGTCCAGATTACTGGGTGTTGAGTATTTTTCGTCGCGAATGACATCTTCTGTAAAATCATCTTCTGTTCATGGAACAAGAGGTAACTCGTAACAAAAGCATACTCACCGGTCGCCTTGAAGCGAAATTCGTCCCTTATCGATGACCTAGCTTATTTCTAATCAACGCGTTTTTATTATTCCCTGCCGGGGTGGAATACAGTAAGGGTTTGTCTTAAGTTTTATTTTAATCTGTCTTGTTTTTTAATAATTAATTCTTTTGGCCTTTTTACCATTTATCCTTTCCTAAATTTGTATTCGTCGAAAACTCCCCAAGCTACATCTCTTTCCCCATAGACAGACTATCGTGTCTACTATTTTAACGGGTCCCTGTTATAATAATACATCTATCTGATTATCCAGCATCCAAATGTGTACTGGTTATGTTTCTCGGTGGTTGTACCTTCTCGGAGATTTCAGCGCTCAGGCTTCTGGCGAAAAAGTTAGGTGAGCTATCGACAGATGTACTTTTTTTTATCGTAAAAGGTACAACTTGGATTTGGACTAATAATTGTCGTTGGAAGTAAACATTACGTGTAACGAATTGAGTTAAGAGCAGTGGAGAACGGGGGTGTAACAGCGAAAGCGTTATCTATTCAACTCCGAATTTATTTTATACAGCTAACATACAGCAAAAGTAGCAGAAGGTTGAAATTAAGGATGAAAGACGAAGGATAGAGCGCAGTTTTTCTGCTTCATGTGGTCCTATGACGCTCGTCACCTGTCGCTAGCGCTCCACACTAGTTCCTCAGAGAAAAAGCGAGCACCTGAGAAAGAGGCTGAGTGCTAATTGTGCCTGTTCAATTGAAATTTCGTTTTCCTCGCAATAATTTAAAGCACACGCGATAATTCCATAAGATAAAGAGACGAAATAAACGTAATGATTCTAGGCTGAGGGATGAATAAGTATTAGTGTACAACCCAGAGCATTGGATTTGAACAATCTTGTTTTTGTTTGTATTGCAGGATATCGAATAATAGTGGCCACGACATCAATTTTAAATGGAACTCGACTTTTGGAGTCGGTCACAGAAACCAATCGTAAATAGAACTCCGTGTAATATACGGGTTGTTTTTTACTGATCGTGTCCCATTATCATTGTCATGGACATGACACCACAGTCGATGCAAAACTTCTGAGACACAAGAAGCCTGGCCATGAAGCCTGATCATGAGGCGGATTTACCAGACCTTTGCCTGCATCTGAAATTCCACGGAGTTTACAACCAATGTTGACCTCAAGTTACTTTAAGGTTACTCCAGAACTTCACAGGTCAACCTGTGGGTCTCTAAACTTATGAATATTGTTCTCTTACTATTCATTTTCAACATTGGCATTATGTGTTATTATTTTTGAGAGATTTTAAGAAATCACTTAGGAACGAACGAAAAGCGGAAGATGACCTCAACTGCTCCTAATTCTGTTTTCAATTTCAAACATGACGTTGTTGATTAAAATTTGTGATACACTCCGGGGCGAGCGCCCATAACTAAGTTGTCTATTTTTACAGACACAAACGATCACATAAGAATATAATGTAGAGATATAGATCTTATCACATAAGAATATAATATAGAGTAGCCTCTTAGATAGAAATCCATTCAACTTTGTAATAGAAAAAAACTAATTTATTAGAACCACAAATTGTTATAAAATAAATAAATAGATCTTGCAACCTCGCGTATGTCTAGCAACCTCCAACCTTTAGTTAAATCTGGGAACCACGCGCGTGTCTAGCAACCTCTAACCTTTCGTAAGATCCTGCAACCTCGCCCTTGTCTAGCAACCTCTAACCTTTAGTTAGATCTTGCTTGCAACCTGGCGCATGTCCTTGTGACTTAAGTTAGATCTAACAAAATGTCGCGATTTGACTCTTGCTCAGGTCTTTAAAAACTCGATTGCAGATTTTCGACAAAAAGACGATACAACAAGTCATAAGGAATGCTCATATATTTTTTTGATCTATGCAACCACTTTTTGGGAGATATTAGTTAGGCTGATGCTTTTTTGGATGATAGGTTAGAGGCACCAACGAATTATCAAATAATGAAAGGATGGTTAACAGGAAATCTCAAAGAGAAACGATGCTAATACCTATAACAAAAACTAAACAGAAATTATTACCGTTTTGGACTCTAGCTCTATAAACTTGGGAGTCTTAGTTGCCTTGAAATCTTTCTGGCCTTTGTTCACTTTTTTCTTTTAACTCCAACCAGGTGGGCTGTGTTACACAGTAAAAACCCGCGTATAAGAACCTTAAATTTAAGGACCCGTTAGGCTAAAATTTCCCAGATAAGCACCCCTCTTAAAAGAAAATCTAAATACAGGTTATTATTTTTAGAATTTAGAGTTTGTTCAAACTTGATACAGTACATCGCCTGCGATACAGAGAATACATGAGCGCGCGTTGATATGGAATCCGAGAAAATTTCGACAAACAACCTTGGATTGAGAATGGTGAAGGCTTTGCCTTTCATTCATCATCCTGACCGAGTGGCGCGAAAGGCAAGAGACATGTCAGTAGCTGATTGGCGATATCAAACACGTGAAAAAATATCGTATTTTTTCAGGTGTGTTGTTACGGTTTTTCCTAGGGCTGGAAATTCTTGTGTAACATCGTAGTTTATATGATAAAAAAGGGTAACAAAAACTGGCCAGAACACCGGCGGTGTTATAAGACCACAATACTGTACTGTCAATACATCCATAGTAATGCAACAAATCCGACTGTGTTACCCATGTAAAGAAGGGCACAATGATACTAATAATAATAATAAGAGTTCTTAAAAACGCATTCTACATATAAATGTCTCGATGCTTTTTACAACTAAAAGAAAGAGCTCTCACGAAACAAGCACATTTTCAACGCCCTTTTAAAACTATCAGCAGAGTTACTTTGTCTAATGGCAAGCGGTAGCTGATTCCATAACTTCGGAGCAATTTTCACAAAAGATCTATCTCAAAAGATCTATCTCCGTAAGAAACTGTAATAGTCTTAGGGATAACGAAAGGTTGGAATCACTAAAACGAAGAGCGGACAGGGAGTGTAATAATGTCACAGTTCATTAATATACATCGGGGCAAGGTCATTAAGAGATTTGTACGTAATCAAAAGTAACTTAAGGCTGGCATACAGCGCAGTATCACTGCCACACCCAACAATACAAGTTGTTTTTCTATTAAACAAAAATTAGGAACGCGATTAAGAACCTAGGTAGCCTAATTTCACAGTAAACACTATTTATCTTAGAACCTATGAAGCCTAACTATAAAAAAACCTAGGTTTTTACTGCATTACTCTTCCTTCAGCCTTTTCTCCAAAGTGTATCATGTAAATGAAGTAGTTCATAGAACGCGATCGCACGGAAATAGATGCATAGGATATCATGAATACCGACGCAAACAAAGGAACTACAACTAGCATGGCATGGGCCTTAATAACAAGTTTATCTAATCATTGTCATTAACTACAGGGAAAAAATTACTCTTTCCTTGTAATTTTTCTGTTAAAAGGTCTTGCTGGCAAGCAATCTATAGCAAATCCATGTTTGCTGACAAAAAAGTGACTTGTTAAGACTCTCCTGACTGGATTTTGATTCTGGTCAAAGTTGCTGGCTGGGAAAAAATCCCTTTGACTCGTGCTGGCTGCCACCGAGTAGCGGCTATTAAAATATATAATCAATCGCAAATTAGGTGAAATTTCTTTTATTCGTCAAAGAAAGGTCTGGTTGGTTCAGCTACTTCTGAGCTCGTAGGATATCGTGTAATTCTTAAATATCAAATTGAAAATAGTGTAAAATATTCTGTTGGCCATGAAGCAACAAAATTACTAATTACATGTTAATTGCAATTTCACTCGTGACTTGTAGTGGCTATCTTCGACTAGATTAACCTGCTTCATGAACAAAGATGTACGAAAGGCGAACCAACGTCCTAACCAATGACGTCAAAGAACGAAAACAAACCATCCCCAGAAAAAAACGCCTGTACACCATGATTTATCTTAAAACAACATATATATAAGTCACTAAGATTCTGCCATCACCTTGAAACTTGTAAGTGTCCTTATACAATTTCAACTGGCGTTTCCAATTCCCTTGTAACACGGTACGGGAGAATATTTTTGAATTGTTGTAAGTCCCAGTGTAAATTTATCTACTGCAGTGAATTCAACAGTAATTGCATAACACAAACAAAAACTATTACAATTGTTGCCTATCTTTTAGTACATTCAAGATCTGTTTTTCAAGGCACACAGGACAATCTAGAACTAGAATCACTTTGCTTTCTATTCACAACTTGATGCCGTTTTGTTCGTTTTGTTCGTTTTGTTCGTTGTTTCGAAGAAAACTGACACCTGTTTTTTTTTTCTGAAAGGTCGATCTGCCTTGAAAAATAGATCGTTGAGAATTTCCGTTTTTAAAATTAGTTCCTCAGAAAATATACGCTATGTAGACGAGACACTTCGCAAGAATCCATGCAGCTGATATTTAGCTGCAGCTGATATTTAGCTACACCTGATCTGTTCGTATTAACTGAGATGCTGTCTCTATGAAATGACAATTGTCCAAAGCTCTTCATTCGTCAGCGGCAAAGCAACTCTCTAGTGCCCATTTTTTTCCATTGTCATGTGTAAATTCCAAATACCCGTATGTATGACGTGCCATTCAGAGCCCACTTGAAGCGTGTTCCCGCTGTGCTCATTATTTTTATTCCCTACGCAATTAAGGTGAACATTTTATTCTCTGATAACTATCTATTTGCCGTAAAATTTCTTGTTCAACAGGAAGATGAGTAGGTTGACATTTATTTTTGCTCGTCCGAACATCTTCATCACTGCAACACCCTCGTACTGAAGTTGAAGTAAGTCCTGTAAAAAAATACCTTGTTTTCAGTGCCATTAAAATGTGCTTTAAATTACCTGAGTGTTCAATTCGAATAAAACGCGATAAAAAGAAAATATATTAAATAAATAAATAAATAAAAACCTAAATAGTTAAAAATTGTTTTCAGCAGGAGGCATATGAGCGGCGTTGAAAATTATTCCCCCTCTCCCTCTTGGAAAGAATCGAAGAATTCGAGAACAAGCAAATGTTGCAAATGTTTTATTTCATATCCTTTTGTTTCCAGAAGACTTAAGTTTTAAAAATGGGAAAACGTACGAAAACTTCGCCCCTGAGTTGAAGGAAAGTTGTTTAAAACTGACTTAGAACATGGCGCCGCTCACCTGAAAGACAAGCTCAACTTTTTCCATGGCCACTCCCATGAATTTGGCTGACACTTCAAAGACTCCGACCTCATCCGCTGATTTGATGTCAAACATGACATTCTTGAACCTGCAGACGAAGAAGAAACACACTTTTCACGAAAAAGAACATTTCAGTACTTGAAACACTTGACGCACAACTTACTGCGATGGCGGCAGTCCTTCAATTTCCAAAATAACTCCCTTCTCGTACAGTCTTTGCGCAGTATACTTGATTTCACCTCGGTACACGTCTTCTTTTCCCTTTTGTTGCTTGGCTCGAGGTTTTCTATTTTTCATTTGAACAAGAGTAAAAATTAATACAGGTACTGTTAACTGAGACCACATTCACGTGCAAGTGTTGTACAATATTATATTGCAGTGACGAACAACGAAGTAAAAAAAAAGATTTCCTTTCGCAAGAAAATGACTTTAGTAACTCGAAATGGCAAATTTTACATAAAATGCAAAAGAAAGCAAGTAAGTTTGTTCAATAGAATTCTGCCTGGTGAGTAATCGTTGTGTGGTGGTAAAACTTACTTTCCCTTCTTGGAGAGGTTATCTAAACACACTCTGATGTACTGGTTATAGTAATCGATCTGTTCTTCGTAGAACTGTGATTTGCTATGCAAGCTTTCCAAAGTCTGTCCCAGTTTCTTTTTTTCTTGTCTCCGTCTTTGTCGGTACCGCCTCTGGTTTCTGATGTCCTGCATCAGAGATATTGAGCATAAATGACAATTCATAATTAGAGAAACAAAAACTTAACCGACGCATTATGCATTATCAACCACTGAAAAACGTTTTGAGCAGGGGAGGTTTAGGTGTCAGACTCCTAATACGAGCGAGCCGGTCAGGAGCGATCAGAAAAGGAATACATAGCACTTTGTCCACTAAATCATTTGAGTCTTAACAGGCCACTGTTTTCCTACAAGTTTGAGTTCCGTTTGGAACTTGTTTAATTAGCATGATGAGCAAACGTCTCTTGTGCCATTGTACACTCAACTTCTTTTTGACATTATTAAAACCATATTACCTTCAAAAATCAAAACAAAACAAAATAAAATGATAATAATAAAAAATTCGGAAAAGAAATTGCGCTAAATTGTCACCTTCAGCTCATAAACAGTACAGTTTCAGTGCAGTTTCGTTGTCCTTTCATGTCCTACATATTCAATGTTGTTGACAGTTACCAGAGTTGGGAACCGAGCGGCCTGGCGCACGGGGAAATTACCTTTGCGATGGCGTTAATGATATCTTGATAATCATTCTTGATAGTGACGACTCCTTGACTTTCAAGCATCCGTAGATTTCTTATTATTTTCCTTTTCAGTCCTTCAAGGGGAAGTCTGAAAATTTTAACATTGGAAAAACATTATTTGTGAGGGAGGTTTCTATTTACTACGAGCTGATAGATAAGGAAAGATGGATAACTCGACTACAGAGAGCTATAAAAGTTTTGTTTAATCCTTGGATACGGTTTGCCTTGCGGTTAATCAGCGATCCTTAACCAAAGGATCATGGATTAAAAACATTGTAGCACGCAAGAAAAAGCTGAGATTAGAGAACGTGTTTAACCCGGTTACATACTTGTTATCTCCATAAGCTGAAGTAGACCTTGCTACATTGCCATGGGATTTACTTTTGTTCTCCTCGTTTAATTCCCTCAGTTTCATCGATCTCGTGTGCTCTTCTTCCTGCATCAAATACAATATATTTTGAGAAATGTTTAACAAGGGCAGCAGACAGATGGTTAAAACTATAATAATATGTTATGTGACAGTACAACTAAATTAGAAAATCACGCACTTGCTCATCAGTGGCGGGAGTCTCTAGAATCTCTGTCAAGTTATCTCCAGCTTGGATTTTGAGAACATCTACGATCATTCTCTTGGTTCTGAAAGAAAAAACGTACAGACATTATCGGTCATAAATGGCAAAAGCTATGACGCCTCTAGCATGAAAATCGCAACTCACAAAGACGACCGTAGACAGAAAGGCTCTGTTACAAGGACACGACAAAATGTATTGTACATGAAATGACGCGATAGAACGTAAAAATACAGACAAACCGCCGTCCAAATCAACCAAACTTAACGAATCTTAACAAATGACTATCACATTTCATTCCATCTGCTTTTAATCCTTCAACGGTAGGAATTGTCACTCATCAAAAAATTACATTGTCTTCTAGACTGTTTGTGTGCCTACTTTTTAAGATTGAGCAATAAGAAAATTAATTCACATGAGGCGTACCTAACAAACAGTGCTCTCATGTCAGAGTCGTCATCATCCGGGACCTCAAACTTGTTGGTCAGCGTTAAGGAGATCTCTGTTTTTGAATGATGTGACATCACCTGTTCTTCATCTACAGGCGATGTTTCCCCTAACAACAAATACGTTTTCTTCTTGTCAATAGTTACTTCAAAGTGCGATCCTTTATTAAGGACAGCGTGCGAGAATTAACTTGTTCAAAGTTCAATGAACAATCAATTCTTGGCTATATTGGGTTAAGGTGCAAACAGCATTCCAGAAACGGTGGAGGCTTCACTTCAGGTAGTTCCTATGTGACTCACGCGCGAGGCAAAGTACAAAATGTAACAAATTTTTTTTGTTCAGTTTTCTGATTGTCTCCACCTTCTCTAAAGAGGGAATGAATTCGTAATTAATCAATTAATCTCCAATTGCATAATTTATGTTTTAGAAGTGTTACGTTTGTTGAGGAACTCGACATTCCTGAAAGTTATTAAAAAATTACACCAGCCAGCAAGAACTCTCTAGATGTTGCCTCCTAAAAATAACGAAACGAAAGAATCTAAAAAGATACCTGGGACTGTGCACAGAAAATTTGCCACGCAGAGTATCACGACTTAGAGTGGTAGTTGTCTTACCTATCAAAGCGTCAACAGACGGAGCATCGCCAAGATCATCTAACAACTCGTGCAGAGGGTCGTTGGGATCTGGTGCAATTTCATCTCTGTGATCTAGGAGTAACATGTGTGTATCACAGATCTCTTGCACTGAGATGTAAATCACAGGTTTCGTGACCATAACCACGTCCGTGTACTCGTCGATGTTAAAATGCCCCTCTGGCTCCTCGACATTAGACACCTCTAGGAAAAATCTCCTGCAAACAAGCAAACAAACAACGCAGCAGAACAGATTTACCGGAATACAGACAACGCACTCCTTACGACTACACTGTTAAATCCCTTCAAAAGGGATTAAATCTTTAATTTTTTGAAAAATGTGTCTCATCAGAAAAAAACGCACTCACTTGAAACGTTGATGGGCCTCAGCAATGTAACCATTTAATGGGCTTAAGTGGGCACTTTCGCCCCCAAACTAAAAAGGCAAAAAAAATAAAAATAAAACAACAAAAAAAAGAGTCACAAAGACATAGGTCTAAATTTCAGAAAAAAACATCTACCTTTAAGAGACAAAGTCAGGAAAAGCGATGCCAAATTAAAAAACAAATTATTTGGTTAAGGATTGCTGATTAACCGCAAGGCAAACCGTATCCAAGGATTAAACAGAACTTTTATCCAAACCCAATGAAACAACAGGGTGGGTTTCAGTTACCTTCGAGTAAAACAGAGCTCCTCCTACCAAACCCAACTTTAGCGCACAAGTCAACTTCAGTGAAACTTAACGTAAGAACTTCAAGAGGAACTAAGGTTGTGCTAAGCTATTTGAGCCTGTTTCCCTGGGTTATAGGATTAACTAAAATATGAGTCATCTTTAATAGCGACTCGAAGGATGTGCAGTGCTCAAACCATCTTGTACTAACATCATGCTCGGTTTCTGCATCAGATGTTTCTCGACCCTCTCTCACATAAGGTCTTCCAACCTGAGAAGACCACCTTTTCTTTAGCTCTGGTGAAAACTTAATATGTCTTTTGAACACATTTATTGGAATATTTCACTAACAATGCACGGACATTTTTGGATAAAACAGGAGCGATAATCGGACAGAAAGTTCCCTAATAATGGAAATATTTTTGCATGTTTTCCACAGGTATACATTTTCAAAATTTCCTGACTCTTCCTCGACCTTGAAGAGTGTTGTGATTACTCATACAATTTTTGACCTGTGGCAGCCTTATTTCGGATAGGTACAGGTATTATAAGCGGCTACTCGATGACCACATGAAGGCGTACTCTTCTTTAAAATTTGGTATACAAGTTAATAACAAAGAACTCATATTTTGATACCCAACGATTACTTCAACATATTACGACAAGTAAAGTTTAGTTACTCACCATTTTATTTGATGCTGCATACTGAAGAATTTTGGCAATAGAACCGAGATTTTTCCTCTGGAAGATAAAGAAATCAGTGATTTGTCTGTCAACTCTGGACCTGACCATATTGTTGAGAAACTTATCCCGGTCAGTAAGTAATGCTACTCTTGATGGATAGGAGATAAGTCCATTGGGGGTTACCCCCTTACATTTCGCAATGTTTTCCTAACAATTACCCATCTATACTCCTATGGTGGAGAGGGGCACTGTCAGAGTAAAGTAACACACGATAACCCGGCCCAGGCTCTAACCCAGATTTCTGGATCCTCAGTCTAGCGCGTCAACCTATGGCTATGATGCGTCAACTCATCAGTAGTTTGACATTTGGTCAATGAAGAAATCATCTCCAAACAACAGTCCGATTTCCACTCCTTACACTCCACTGTTTCTGCCCTTTCACAAGCCACTCACATTTGGGCGTTTAATATCGATCGTGGATATGTTAACGCTGTAGTTTTTCTCGACTGAAAGAAGGCTTTCGACACTGTTGATCATAATATATTATTGACAGGGGAAAATATGGACCATTATTCCTCTTGACTATTAACTAAAATGTACCGGTACGGACTAAAAGGAAGAGTTCTTAGAACGCGGTATTTAGTAGTTTAACTTTGACTGCCCCATATCATACACTGTACAGTTTTTCACCGGACAATTTAATTTGAATCATTTGTGCGGCCCTCTCACTAATGCGTGGGAAACTAAAGGAAATTACGACGGCAAGGACTTAAGCCAGGAATGATGAATAGGATGAAACTGATAATCAAGTGTAAGAAGTAAGTCTACCTGATCAGCCGTCAAACCCTTATCCACGCCCATTGACACGATATCAAAAGCATCCGGTGCTACGATCGCAGGGTTCATATACCTGTAGTATATCAAGTTACTTACAACCTGCAAATCAGCGAACACAAATCACAACGTTTACACATGAATTTTCAAGCTTGCAGAGACAGTTAAACAGTAGTTATTAGAAGAAAAAAGCACTAACAAAATGAAATACAACTCGCATATCTAAAGAGGAACACGAGAATAATTACATGGAGTGCCTAGGAATCAAACAAGCGTAATACCCAACTTACTTTTAGTATTTCTGATTCTGCTGCGTCTGGAAATTTTTCAGCGAGAGCCACTCTCAAAGACATCGCTACATATCGCATACCATACCTAACGAAATACACCACAACTATCAAAATAAAAGTACTAAAAAAATATTTCCACAGCTATCATGATATTAACTAAATTAAAAACATCAACGTTACAGTAATTTCCAATAGAACACTGTTGAAGTATGTAACCATCTGAGTCTTTTGCTGAGTATTACGTTCTCTACATCACAAGGAGACAAGAAATAGACAGCTTCTGAGGGCGCAGACACAACTCCGCTTTATCGGCATTAACTAGGAACATAACCTAACTGCTAAAGGTCTCTGAAGATCAAAAGGCAAAACAACAAAACAGCAATCATCAGCACATTAGCGGGCACACACTACTTACGGTATTTTATGGCCAGATTGAACAATGGAGCTTAAAAATGTATCTGTAACTTCTGTAAGGCTCTTCATGGCAGCTTCTATTCTTTCTCGTACTTCAGGATGTTTCAGCGCTTGTTCCGGTTCCACATCATATGGTAGCTTACTATGCATAAAAAAGAGGAAAACTGATTCGACAATTCAAAACCCTATATTCATTAAGAAATGCGGGAAGAGTGTTAGGTTTCTACCCTTGGTTGGAGTGTTGATTAAATTTCCTTTTTTGTCAAGGCACTTTGTCTGAATTTAAAACTCACTTGAAAAAGCGGCTAATGAACATGATCCTTAACTATTCTTTAACCTGATCGATTTTTCAGCGTACGTAAAGAAAGATTGCAGATTAAAGACGGAGAGAACCGAGTGTGGGTTTCTAACGAGTTTACACGACCCGTTCAAATTTTCCCTTCACTTTTGGCGCTGTACCTGGGCTACAAATCACACCTTAACTATTACCTCAAACAATTCAATCACGACCAATCAACAGCAATGGTATACATTCGTACCTTGCAGTTCCCGTTTCTGATTCCGTTTGATTAATCCAAGCCTTGTACACTTCAAGTGGGTTTGTGTTGATTGACAAGTTCTTGTCATTAAGGACACCCTCAACCAATGGTTGTAGCAGCTCTCGCAATAAGCTCTGACCTCTAGTACCTCTAAGCAAGCCCGAGTAATACTGGTTAGTAATAGTAATCAATATCATCAGAAGCAACGCTATCCAGTTTTTGCATTTTCATTTTGCGAACATTTCACGCATCCAGAATATTGAACATTGTATATGACAAGCACTTTCAAAACTGTAGTCTTTTTTTTTACTTTTAGATTATCAAAGATTGTGTCGTTTAAAAGGAGTGTAGAAGTTTGCGGCCTTCGATTGACCCATTTCCAAATAATTGTTGTTGGGAGTTAAGAAAAATGTTATTCTTTTTGGCACAGAGTTAAAAAATCTGAGTTCGACATGAGGAATCGAAACACACTCCATCGGAATGCACTCTTATTCTCTACCACTGAGCTGCAGAGAACTCGAATGGTGACCAAGGCCACTACTCCTCACTACTCATTACTCATTACTCTGGAAAACACGTGGCAAACAAACATTTTAGAGAGTTTTGAAAATGAACGGACTCCGCGGACTACGAACGACTGATTCTATTCCGTACACTCACCGATTAAAATGAACCAACATCCTAATGACCGCTGGGTTTCCTGTCACGATGTCCTGCATTTGGTCAACTTTTGAGCTAAAGAAAAATTGTCACAAAGACATAGGTCTAAATTTCAGAAAAAAACATCTACCTTTAAGAGACAAAGGCAGGAAAAAATTGTCGAACTCTCTTTCTGTTCCGTTCATAAAACTATTTTCTTTAAAAGCTTAAAACCTTAACTAAGTGATGTCCACGTTGTAAAAATTGGTGGAAAACAGTAATGTTATAGAATGAAGATGAGGAGAAAAGAGATTTCCCGCGCGTTTTCAATACTTACGCAATTACCATTCTTACATTACAACTACCTTCGAGATTAGACTAAAATAAACTAACACAGAAAGTGGAAAAACAAAACAACACTTACATATGTCCTCTTGTGGAACCAGTGAGTTAGTATGAATGCATTGTAAGTACTTAAAATTTTCTAAAAAACCTTAATACAGATAGTTCCTCGATACTTGTACTAGGATCAATTAAATTAAAAAAATAACTCGTCACCTTAACCGAGCACATAACGAGTAAACGTTTAACGGATTTCCATAGCATGCAGCAGAATCAGCATTCTAAGTCGATATCAATAGTCCTCTCATCAATTTGAATACTTACGCAATCTCCTCTTTGAGCGCTGTGTCAAATAATTTCACAAGCAGATACTCCTCCCTCGGATTAGAGGCATAGTTGTATAATGTCAAAATAACAGACTCCATGAATTTAGTAAATTTACTTTGTGGCATTGCAAAAATCAGCTTGGCCAGGTAAACTGGATTAGTTTGAAGTAAGTAAAACAAGTTCTGGTAAGCTTCTAGTTTTTCGTGGCTTTCTTTACTCAGTGACTTGATCCCCTTTGTTCTCTGCATTGCAGTACTCATGTCTTGTTTTTCCCTTTTTAAGTTTTTTCCATGGTGTATTACGTCCTAAAAATAGACAAACGAAAATAAACTTGCGAATATTGGTACTAGCGGTGTGCCTTAAAAAAAGGTTATCATCAAGTTTATAAGAACGTTTATTACCGTTTAGGTCTTTCCTGTTAAATACAACATCTATCAATTCACGCTGAAGGGCTTTTGCAAATAAAGCACACTTTTTATCTTCTGTACCATAAGAGTTTTGGAGTTTAATCTCTAGAAAACTGAAGAGCCACTGGACTAACTGTAGGTGACCCGTTTTCGAAATTTAGGAATTCTCTGTCGAAGAGCAATGTCTAACTTACAGAAGTGTCCATTAAGAGACAGATGACTTTGATAAGGAGTTGACATAGCCTTTACACTAACCACGAAGGGAACACATTCCTTTACTACAGGAAAAAAAATATACATATATATGTACGTATAACCAGGCTGCAGCATAAGAGTGATGCATTGTAAGACTGCTACAACGTTTTTGTTGTAATATTTGTGAAAAAAATGCCAAAAAAAATGGTTGTGTACATGATGACGTGGGTGAATGGTGTCAAGAATTTGCGATGATGCCCCTTTCCTCTTGAGCAAATTTTAAGCTTCTCATTTTTTTAAGAAGTCAAAAGAATATGTCTTAGACATATTGGTTTAATACCTGCAAAGTGATTCTGTTTCTAACTAGAAGTCCTATCTTAATGTCCATTAGACTCAAGTCATTCTCGAGCTGTTGGTTTGATCTGATCTCTGTCACAACCTGGGCTCGTAGCTTCTGAAGATCTGCAGATTAGTTCACACTTATTAAAAAATACAAAACTTAGAAACATGTAAATGCACAGATCACGTTCAGTGGTTTAACTAGCCATAAGATAACAGTAGCAATAAATTTATGTCATTTATCACTGAAAGAAAATATATCACAAACACCACAGTAATCTGGACAGCCTCGAGAGACAGGTTAAAGTGCATTAATATCTGCCTTCAAAACAAAGTTGTTTTACGTACCAAGCTCCTCTTCAAAGTCAGCATCACTGTGTTCCAAAAGATGGAGGAATTTTCTTACAGTCTTTACTGGTGGATCTTGCATGGAGACTGTGTGAGGAGGAAAATTAAAATGTGCTTCAGACAAAAACCTGTCTTTTCTTCAAAACTTATTGTCATCTACATGTCAAGCAAAAGATTGCAATTTAGGTAACGTAAACAACTGCATGACAAATTTTCCTGTAAAAGAACTAAGAGTAAAAAAGAACAATTTACTTACTGAGTTTTCTGTAATCATTTTGGGCCACATTTGCTCTCAACCAAGCCTGGATTTTCACTATAGCAGAATTCTAAAAGAAAGAAATTTAGCAGCATGTGATATTTAAACCGGACATCTATTGGAATTAATTCTAAGACATCTAATATGACACCAAGTAAGCTACAATGATCTTTTTACCAGCCCAGGAAGTGCATAATGCCATTCAATTTCATAAAATAAGCAGTTTTGTATAGCAACAAGGTTTTTAAGGATCAACTTACATGGTCCTTAAAGTATTTTCTTCTTTCTAGATATTTCTTTCTAGCAAGTGACATCCTCATCCAAGATTGAATCTGTCAAGGAAAAGACAAAAAATTGAGCAAAAACAAACAACACACCAAATGACAGAAGTATAACGGTCTTAACCAAGCCTAATTGTACTATAGTTAAGATACCTTACCTTAACAACTTCTTCAGGATGACTGTGCAGTTCATTGAGCCTCCTTCTGTATTTCAATTTTTGAATAAATCCCCTCACAAATGCCTTAAATAATTAAGATTACATTGCAGATTTAGTAAATGGTTTGTGCCTAGGGGTGAGTTGTCCTGAAAAGGGCTGTTGTCAGTAGTAATGACTAGACATTCAGCAACCTGAGAAGAAATAACCCCAAGACTCTAATGATTAATTCCCCCAGATCGATAAAATGTGGGTCACTTCTATTTACAACAGTCCTTTTCCAAACTATCCTCACTGCATGATCTTATGGACAATCAAACTGCAGATTCTCAAGACAAAAACTAATTTCTATTCGATTTTCAGTCTTTATTCTACAGCAGAACCCAGATTCTCTGCACTAGAATTACATTCATGAGAAAATTCTGTTGGTCTCTTCGCATCAGGGCATAAACTATAATTTGTAAATCACTGGCTATTGAATGAAAATAGTATTTTGATTGCTTATATGGTATACCTCAGAACACAATGCATGAAAGTTTCATGAAATGCGATTTTCAGAAGACAACTTTCTTCTGAAACTTACAGGTATGGCAAGGTTACAATCAAATAAAGACACGCATGATGAGGGGAAAAAAAGGATAGGGAAGTAGAGAAATAGCTAAGAATCTTAAACTGCCAAGGAAAGCTTGCTCACCAAATACATTTTCAGGACTGTTGTTAAAACCCATTGCTGCAATAGTCTCCAGATCATCACAACAAAACTTCTTTGATATTTCAATGGCATTACTCAGAAAGTGATTTCTAACAACATGCACCTGATAGCACAACTGTGGATGAGACCACAAAACCCTTGCCACCTAACAAAATATATTTTGATAAAATACCTAACCTGTATTTTAATAATTGCTGGTAGATGTTCCTTTATGAACGTCTGCCTTTCTTTGTAAGCCTTTCTTGCCAAATATCCTTTCCAGTGAGACTGCAGCTTGATAATCAAGGGTTCATTTGACTCCATGTGAACCCAACGGTCATACTGGCCTGTTACTCTTGATATCACACCCTGTTAAAGATCAAAATAACACTACATAATGAAACTTTTTAATAAACCATTAACCTTTTAGTGATGAAAACTAATTTTCTGCCAACATTTACACTAATGAACCCAAACAGGTAGGACTCTGCTTATCACCCCTCTCAATCTCCTTCATCTACAAATAATTCATAAAAGGCTTTATATTTTAAGATATTAACTAGAACATGCAATAGTTTACTTTTTAGTGAGTTCTTATTATCTGTGCATGATTTATAAGTAATGCAACAGGATCACTGAAGAAAGAACTAAAATTAAATAATGAATATTCACCTGAATTTCCTCTCTGGTAAGCACAGCTGAGTTGTTGATCATATCATCCGGTTTCTCCCAACAACTTTCTTTATTCTCAGTATTGTAATAATACAAATAACCCTGAGATATCTTTTGCTCCAGCCACACAGAGTTACTGCCTACAATTTACCAGATAAAGTACAACTGAGAGTTGTCAACACTAATGTTAAAAGAAAAGGCTTGGTTAGAGTTTAATAGAACCAAAAACCTTGAAGGTGGAAAAATATATGGGTGTATAACCTTTGGAGAAAGCTATTTAAGGATCCTGTTTAAAACAATGAAGATTATGACTGAAAATAATGATGAAGAAGAGATGGAAGTAATGGTAATAGATGAATTAAGGGAGTAAGTTTCCAAAGAAACTGTGGTGCATTGGTGGGAGAGTATAACAAGGTAATTTGGTATTATCAACTGAGTTGATAAAGTAAATTGGCCACTGTTAAGAATTTCAGAGCTGATGTTTTGAGTGTTAGCCCTTTGTCATTTGCTCTGACAAAGGACTAATGATCAAAACGTCAGGTTTGAAACTTTTAACAGAGGCCAATTTACATTTACTTATCAACTCAGTTGATAGTACCTATTAAGTAACTTAAGATGGTAACAGTTTGCTTCATATCAACTTACCTGCTTCTTTCTTGCTATCTTTAAGTTTTTTTAGCTCTTCAAGGTACTGCTGAATACACTGTGATGTGACACCATAAATGTTTGCTCTTGGGTATGTAAGAGCAGCTATCAGAAGCTTCTCATCTTGTGCATCAATTGCTTGGTTGATTGCCGTCACACCCTCAGCCACTAGACGAAAAACAAAATCAAGCTTTCTTATTCTTGTAAAGCATAATTACTAAGACTCTGCTCATCATAAACAAGTACTTACAATGTTGAGCCTCATCGCAGTAATGATTCGCACTGTCTAAGCTTCTCTGAATCTCATCATGCCACAGTTCAGCTGTGCCTTCATCAGCTTTCTATGGATTTTAAAACACATGTACTGTCCAATCAATCAATCAATCAATCCTTCATTGACATCTATGTGCTAACAGCTGGCTAAAATACAAATATGCTAACTAAAAACATGCATATAAGAAAAGCTAAAAATAAAAGAGACAAAAAAAACAATACATTACAACTCCATAGCGGATTAAATGTGTACCTCAAAAATTGAGGTTGTTAAGTATTCATATATTCAGGCTATTGTTCTTTCTCATTACTTATTCATTCCGATGAGTTTGCCGACATGCCGGCATGCTTCCGAAGATCGTGAAGAGCGCAACTTCTTTGATGTAGGTGAGATATTTTTCTTTTGTTAACAGATGAAATAAACTCTCCCGGGAATCTGCTTGATTCGGATCAAAACAAAACGATCGGCGCTCGAAATGATAAACTATTTTCGCTTTTGCTCTTCGCAGTGATTACAACAACTCGTCCAAGATCCATTTTTAAATCTTTTGCGACGCTCTTTAATCCTAAAAACATATTAAGGCTAAAAATACACCGTGAATAGAAACTAAATCCATTCAAATGATTGCAGTTAATCGATCTCGAGTTCATTCATCTCAAGACAATGTAAACAAAAGGATACAAGATCACAAGTCTGTTCGCGCAAGGTAGCTTAATTACACTATTGTCCAAGTCTTTTGAAGTACCTTCCGCAGTTCCTTTGGTCTTCTTCCAAAATATCTCACCTTTTTCAAAACGAATAAAACCGACACGTTTTCGGCAGCCACCGAAAGCAATGCCCAAAGGAATAAACCGAGCCTTCGAGGTAAAAAATCCAGCGGTGTCACCCATTTCAGAAAGTCACATTTAATCCGCTATGGAGTTGTAATGCTTCTATCCTTTTAAACTAAGAAGACTATCTGCTTAATAAAACTACAAAAAGCAAGATTCAACACTGAATTAAAGTGAATGTCACACAGCACAGAGGCTGTGATCTTCTGCTAAAAGTAACCTGAATCCATTCTTACCGCTGCTTTGGCCATCTTCTGAGTGTATAGAAGCTTCTGATAGAGTTGGCTGCTTTCAGGGACAATACCTGATAGTTTGGCAGCAACAGCCTGTAAGGCTTGCAGAGTACTTTGGTGGTCTTCCTTATCAATGGCCTCATTGATAACTGCTATTGCAGAGATCACTATCACAAGAAAATGTAATACCCAAATTGCCATTAATCATGAAATCTTACACTCATTCTCTTTGATATTTTTCAAAACAGATATTCTTGTTTATGTGTGACTGGTCTCAATATGACACGTGACCCAATAGGTACTAACTAAACTGAGGAATGAAAGGCAATATGGCACTAAGTTCAACACGTGAACACTGTCAGCCCCCATTTGAATAGAGATTATTCCCTTGAAGGTCAAGGTTTACCTCAAGCTATGGATTCAGAAAACTGTTCCCTACCTGGAACAGATAATGCCAACAGACAAATTTGCAAAATCATTTTCCTTCTGAATGAAGGCTTAAATGTCCACACCCAGAGGTTTTAATCTGGAGTTAAAGTTGGAGGTTGTGATACCTTTTAATGATTTGACTCAGTTCTAAAATTGCTACCAATAGACTTAAGGGTATACAGAGTAACAAAATGGATTCATAACTTGTTACCTTAGAATTGGTGATTATTCAGGTAACAAAGGAGTAAGGTAAGAGACAGAGACTCATAGTTCAGTGATCACCCAGTCACAATATATCAGAAGACCTTCCCCTCAAATCTTAGCTCATTAACAATGTTTAAACACTCCTTGCAACCTCTGATTTATAGCATTCTACTTGTCTTAAACACAATCCTGACCTGTCATTTGCTTTAAGGGAGCTCAATCAAGACACAACATTTTGGAGAGGCTGTACTGTTTCTGTAGAGACAACAAGTCTGACATAGACTAGCTGGGCAAGAGTGCTCTTTAAAAGTACAATTAAATGTGGTTCACTGCATAAGCATAACCCAGAGAAGGAAGGCTCTATTATGACAAAACAACAAGAAAAAATAATCAAATGCTCATGGTAACTTACAATCATGCTCTTCTTGAACAACAGTGTTCATGTATTCCACACAAATCTGTATTTCAAGCTTTGTTAGATCATCCTTGCCAACTCCACATTCCTAAGTAGGTACAATAATTACCCATGAGAGGATTTAATAGTCATCCCCCTCCATCTCTACTTCTGTCAGAGACCTTCAATTTAATTACTTGCAAGTGCAAACACATTTCAACCTACCTGTGCTTTGTCCTCCTTGACAGAGATCAAGTAACTTAAGTATCTGTTACATAGACTCTCATCCACTGAAGTCAAACCAGCATTAGCATGGTTCATTTTTTCAATCAACCGAGTTGAATTTTCATTCTCAATGGCTTCATTTATGGCTGCTACAGCTGTCAGAACTGAAAGTTAATGTAGTGTAGGTTTGTTTTAAGTTAACACCTGACACTAACTTAGGTTTAAAAACATAAAAATGCCTATAACTATGTCACTAGTCATAACTATGTGTGAATTTACTTCAAAATACTATTTTGTCTTCTTTAGGAGGGAACTGCCCTATTTTTTGGTGTGTCTCTGATGAACAAATTTCATTACCCATTAGTAAAATTATCAAGAGGGCCAGGTAACTTGAAACTCACTATGACAGTACCTGACAACTGGTCACAGATGGCCTGATGTGAAAGGCACACTTCATTACTTTCCTGCAAAGAAATGAACAAAAACAAAATAGAGTTTGCGCCATGATTGTATAATTTTAAAGCCATCACAATCATCAAGAAAACAATAGTGGAAAACATTTTGTATGTGATTAGTGCTCATTTGTTAAATTTAAAATTAATTAATAAAAATAAGTATAATACCTGATTTGATTACTTAATGATTCAAATAGCATCATAATGTCAATAAAACATTAAGTTTGCACTTTTGGTCTTTTGATCTCAAAGGCTTGAGAAGCTTAATGCATAAGCAGAAAGGAAACAACTAGACAAAAGGAAATATTCAAAAGAAGAGATAAGGTACAGAGTCGAGACCATTCACTTGAGACTTACTTGCAGTGATTGTTGCTTAGCTTTATAAAGTCCATCATGATACAGAAAGGCACTCCTTGTCAGTACTTTTGGAAACATCCCTTCCTGTTTTTGGATCAAGGTATGAGTTTCTTCCACTGTTCCCATATCTATTGACTTGTTTATACAGTGTACAATATCCTCCACTAAAACAGGAAAAAACAACAACAAAAAGTAGTAAAACATCAGTAAAAACAATTAACTGTCAATTAAACAAAGTGCAAATTAAAATGATATAGATTTCAGATTGCATTAAGGTTATCATATGAGTAAACCCCATGATAAAATTATATTGCACCATTACTCTCTAGTCTGATACTGACTACTCAAACAGTGCCTATATTCACTTACAACATAAGTGAATTAAAAGATCATGCTCCCCAAGAAGTGCTTTAAATCCTTTACATTGGCTAGGATCATTGACTTGTAGAGAAACCCAGTTTAACAGGGAAAAAGGTAGTACTCACTTTGTCTGTGTTGTTCAGCTAAATCATTAGCAGCATTGATTGCTTCCTGGATTTCTGTTTGAGTGAGATCAACATCAGAGAGACCAGTGTGCTGCCAAAAGTGATCATAGAATTTTCTCATTAAGTTTTAATGACATCACAGAAATAAACAAAGTACTGATTATCACCAGTACAAAACATTTATCTCATACACAGTTCCCAGCAAACCATAATTCATGTCTAGAACAAAGTTAATTCAGGACATGACTGTGCATAATTGCAATGTTGCCCAGGTTAAACAAAGTTCCCTCAACTGAGAACATTGCTTTTCCATTCACTTCTATTTACTTGGAAGTATGCTCTGGTAAATGAGAAAATAGCAACAAGCATGAATGGAGCATTTTCATTTTTGTGTGGTCAGCAGCTAGGCATATTCACTGAAACAACAGGAAGTGTGAACACATGACTCAGTACAAATACCACAAAGTTGACTTTATAACCCAATGTGGCTGCTGTTTCACTGATTTGGTGTGTGTATACCATCATGGCCACCAAGGAAGTGCTGAAAATACCTCTTGTTTTATATTTCTTTTCTCCTCTAACAACTTCATGTACCATGACCCATTTTCTTTGGTGAAACCTGTCAACTTAGCTGCTTTGTTGGATAAAGCAATGGTCAAAGCCTCTTCATCATTATTGTTGACAGCCTGGTTAACTTCTCTGACAGCCTGAATCACTATAAACAAACAGATTATCAAATAACTATATGCTTCACACAATCAAGAGAACTTTGAAATGGGATATGAGGTGCACTTTATAGAAATAGCTGCTTGATATACTGTATTTTTTTGGTTATAAGGCGCACTTGGTTATAAGATGCACCTTTAACTCTTAAACATAATTGTATCAAGTTTACAAACTTTAAATTACTCCTAAATACTCAGCGATATTGATTTTATTGATCAGTTCACCCTTATTACAATATGCTTCCAAATTTGCTAATTACAGTCCTTTCACTTTTGTAAACAAAGCAGAAAAGCCACATTACGAAAAAAAGCAAAAAGGTCACACTTTGAACAAAAGCAAAAAAAGTCACACTTATTAATAACATACAAATTACTCAAAAACAGTTCCTTTAAGTTATGAATACTAATTGATCCATTTTAACATTTATAAACAACACTCAGCTGATGAAACTTTCATCAGTTTCAAAACTACAATCTCATTCTCAAAGCAATCATGCAGCATACCATAAATCAGAGATCATCATGCCAAGTACTCATCATCATTTCTATGATCTAAACTTCAAGTTGAAGATTGTAGCAGAAGTAGAAGCAGTGAAAAACAATTGTGAAATTGCTCACGAATACGGCATATTGGAATCGATTGTCCATAAATGGAAAAACCAGCAACAAGTCTTGGTTACAGGCAAATTAAAGATGACTGTGAAATGTGCCTCGATGGGTTTTATGTAATACCCGTATTTAATTCATACCAATTCATGCCACCATCGACAAAATGCTTTGATTGTTTGTAGTGCTCATGGGATTGAGGTAAAAGTTTGTTTCTTTCTTTCTGATGTCAATGTATTATCTATTAGTATTAAATTTCAAGCATGTGCTTTTGAGCACGTTCCCTCCTGTGGTATCACTAATGCCCTTGATGGTACAGAAGATGAAGTAGCTTGGGAGGAAGAGGGAGAAGAAGCAGAAGACCCGGAAGACGCAATTGACGACAATTTTGAGACAAAAAAGCAAATGCGAGGATAACAAGTAGCTTAGCAGAGCTGACCTGTAATAAAATGGTTCTTTTCAGAGCCACCTGGGTTCTTTTCAGATCCACAAATCTCAAAAATTTAATGACCAGCAACATTTGTCTCATATTTACGGTATTTAGAGTACTTCAGTCCTTTTATCTGGAAAATTTAGCGAATTTTATATTTTTTGGCACAAACATACTTGGCTATAAGAAGCACCCCGAGTTTAGACCGGATTTCAAGCAAACAGGTGCATTTTCTTTGAAAAAATGCTGCACCTTATGACCAAAAAAATACAGTAAATAATTATCAATGGTTCATGTAAACTGAAGATCAAAGAGTGGACTACTTGCACTCACTACAAAGATTTAGACAACTTGTACTCACTCTTACAGACACCCTAATATAGTGGCCCTCAGAGCAGTAGCCACAAAAACATTTATACCTGTAATAAGCTCTAGAATAATCTGAAATGTTCTTGCCCCCTACTACAGATTAGCTCCCATATGTGTATACCTGTCATTAATAAAGTTAATATTAATAAAAGTTAAGGACAAGACTTAAAATAATTTGTGAATAATCATGGTTCAGACTCACATGCTTCCTCTGCTTTCTTTCTTTTGATCGCATCATTAACCTGACTGACATTTCCTTGAATTTCAGCCTGAGTTAGGAGCGTGTCATATACGTCCATTCCCTCCTTACTTGGTGACTATTAATTAGGTGCACAAAAAAAGAAAAATTATTAACAAATTTTAAATCATTAATTAACAATTACTGGTAAATGCTGAACCAGGTTAAACATACTCTTGTGGTGTGATTGTCCTGGTGAGTGTAGTCCTGAGAGGGACCATTGTCCATAGTGTCCCCACTACCAACTTAAGTCCTTCTTGGGACTACACTCAATGTGAATGATCATACTACACTATCACATGTTACCCCTGTGGTTCAAACTATTTATTGTACTGCATTAAATGTATTCAAATAATTCACTCTTACAAATTGAATAATTCCTTCTTTGTCAACAGGATCAAATCTCCATGTTTGGAAATTTATGTGCCCAATCATTTATTTTAATTCGACATTATTGTCTCTATTTGAACTTTTCCATTCAAATTTTAAAGACAAATTTTATCTAACTTATGAAACCATGGAGGACTGTTTTCCCAAAATTTATCCCCAATTGTGCATGCAGGAATGCTCAGTTTAAAATTTGACTCTTATCCACTTATAGAAACAGGCAACTTGACATGGTTCATTTGCAATAGTTAATTCCACTATAATTATAATAAGATTTGGAATCAAGTTGATGTTCACTTTGCAAATTTGTAAAATCACTATATTCAGTGGGAAACCAGCTTTTGACATCCCAGTTGCATAGTCAATCCCACTTTTGATTTTAAATTTCTGAGTGCCTAGCATGCTCACTTTTCAAACCTGTGCTTAATGCCCTATGGAAAACAACACACCTTGGCTAGAGCTTGGGCAGCCTTAGTAGCCTTAGCTTGGTAAAGGGCCTCCTGGTACTCCTCTGCATTATCTGGACTTATGTCAACTAAGTGTGCACTAGGATTGTGGAGAGCCTCAAGAGTGCCATTTGCATCTTTGTGGTCAATTGCATCGTTAATGGCAATCACTGCAGCATGCACTGTAAGAAACAATAAAATTATCTCCTGATATACTTTTCAAGATAAAGAAGAAAGAAAATTTAAGAGTGAAAGGTGAACTGCAACAATTACTTGAGTTCGTGGTGAATGTTTTTATTAGTAAGTACACTGCAAAAGATGCCTTCAGCAATAGAATTTTTCAGTGAAGGAGCTACAATGCAGCAAATTACTTGGTCTCCCTTGTAGCTGTCATTTGTGTTTAGCTCATGACAAACTCTCTCCCAAAGAGCAATTTCTATGATAAGCCTATGTAAATAACCCAAAGGAGACTACCAAATGCCAAAAGAGCATGAACAAAAAATCTGCCTGAAAGGGTGGTCATTTGTAGTAGCTGAAAGAATGATGAAAAAAGGAAAAAAAAGAGATCACTAAATTTGTAATTGATTGAGTTAAAAGAAAAAGGTAAAGGATTGTACAAAGTATGCAAATCTAACAGAGTTGCCTCTTCCAGAAACTTACATGCAGCTTCATCCACAGGCATCTAAAAAAAAGAGATAGACATTAGTGATTGGCTATAATAATATCATCATCTTGCTTGAAAACCATATATTAAATATAAAGAATATTTGTGTTAACACACCTCACTTTCTAAAATTCCACCAATCTTGCTGAAGGCTGGCATTTGAATTCCATACTTTTCTAGCTCCTTTCTCATGGCACTAATCTGTTCCTCTGCATAAAATTAAAATATATTGAATTTATAAAGTGCAATGAAACCCAAAGGTCTCAACTACTGATGTATCACTTGGAGACATGTCTAAGCCATTAATTGTTACCAGTAATAATCATTGTAACTAGTAATACAGAGTTTGAAATAATGCCCACTCAACAGACAAAGTCCAGCAAAAGATGGCTTTTGTCTGATTAGATACATGGATGTCCCAACAATTTCTTTATAGGCAAGGCTGCAGATTTAATTATTTAATACTAATAAAAATGATGGAGGGAAGGAGAGGGAGAGGGCACTAAAAGAGGCATGTAATGAACATTCGCTTGCCAGAAGGAGGCTGAAGCAAAAATAGGGTTTAAGTCAACAAATACCCTACAATGTTATTAATTGCATCAAAAATGCAATTATCTCATCAAATTAAACCAGAGAAAAACTTACCAGTAAATTTGGCCTTGCCATACAAATCTTGTATTTGTGGTGCTAATCCTAACTTGAACAGGAACAAACTAGGCAAGTAAAAAAAAGTATACACAACAAGTTAAGGAAAAAAGTCACTCTTGTTAAGTTCAAAAATGACAAAGTATAATAAAATCATAAGATTGTAACTCTTGCCCAACATGGTTCTTTTTTTCTCACATCAGGTCATGGCAGGTTAACTAACAGGGTTACCTCAAATCTACACAGTGACTAACTCAACAACTATCGCTGATGATAGAGTGTCTTACAAACTAATCAAATTTCCCCTATTTTGAAGATAAGAAAAATGTTTTAATTTTGATGAGCTTTTCCACTCACATTAATATCAGACTGCAAAAGAAAACCAAATATGCTCATAGATCAGTTCAAAGGATGAAAACAAGGATTAACCAATAAGAACTAGCACATCCTTGATGATAATTTTTTTTGGCAACAGTCCATGATTGAATAAATTCTGTATATATACTTTGTTGATTTTCCCATTGTTTCAAATATGAACAAGTATTCTCATGGAATTTGTGAACACTTACAAACACTTACATGGCAGGAAGTGTATTAAATTATACATTACAGGTTACAACTTTTAAAATTTGCAGAAGCCAAATCAACATTTTTTATTTATTTGTAATCACTAACTTATTAACATGAAGTTGACTAAAACAAAAGTGCATTGCAAAATTTTTTTTCCAGCAAATACTAAAGCAAGTTCTAAATAAATGGTCAATTGTTACATCCAAACAGATTTTTGGTTCCTTACCCTCAGCTGACAGTGTAGGGTCATTCTATCACATGAGCTCGGTCAATGGTTTACACTTGACAGATCACGTAAATTTTTTACAATTAAGAATAGACTTTGGCATCTTTAAAACAAAAATTAGGCCAACCAAGTATTCTTGAGACAATTTCTAAAATTAATGATAATGACTCATCCATAAAAAATTCCCACTTGAAGAAAACAAAGAAACACGAATCGACATGCAATCAGCAGAGATGCAAATCAAATTAATATTTTCTTATTCCTGGACGAGTTCTTTAGTGATTGCTAAAAGAAAAGAAACATTTCAAGTCTCAATGACTTTCTCACCTCAGTGCATGGATACAATATATTAGCTTTGGCATATTCTTTCTGTCATAAATATCCGTTGTTTCAGGGAAGAAGACCTTGGACAACAGACAGATTCTATTAATAGCAAATTCTTTGAAAACGTTAATGCACAGATGTGCTGGCTAGATAAAATAATAACATATTACCAAAGGAATAACAGTAAATTTTAGATACAAACAGACTGAAGACACTGTAGAGCTTATTGAATTTGAGACAATTTTAATACTGTACATACAGATAACTGACACGCGCGAAATATTCCAGAATAAACACTTTGTACATCGAAGTGTACATAAATGCCTTCGTGCTAACTGTAAAGAAAAACATACAGAATTTTCCTTAGAGAGGAGTTACTAACCTTCGGTAGACCAACTTTACCGCAGCTGTTCATGAAGTAATTAATATTATCCGTGTGACGAAAGTGAAGTCCCCGAGTCTGTAAAACAATAACTGTTGGTCTAGGTTAATTAGCTACGAGCTCTTGCAAAGTTACGACTCCGATTGTGAGGCTAGCCGCACATGGCTACAAATGAAAACGAAACACCAACAAAACGGGGAAAAATAATACAGCATATGCAAGAAACAGCACTCACATTCACTACTTTGAATTCTTTATCAAATATTTTGCGCAGGGGTACCGTCTCGGGGGAGAAGAAATTTCCCAGTTTTGCTAGAAACACACCATTCCTGAAAGCCTCCTCTAGTTCAGTCGTAGGTGGCAATTCCTCCTTCAGGCAAGCCTCCATCCATCTAAAAATGATAGCAAGAACTGTGATTAATATCAAAAATAGGCGGTGGAGCAAAAGAAGGAGTTCCAATTCAAATTATATTTTGATACAGTGTTGACGCTGTTACAGTTGGGCGAGGGAGTAGTATCAGGAGTATAAATTTTAATTCAGAAATTTAATACATACAATTTTGCCTCTTCCAGGTGACACAGGTATTGATAGGCCATCTGTTGCTTGCGTTGTTCGTCCATTTCCGAGCCTGAAGCTCTCTCAGGGCTGACCTCTGCAAAACGATTCAGCACAAAAAATGAAAATAGAAAAACTCAGGCTCGAAGATCACCGATCGCAAATTCATTTGGGTTAATTTCTTACCATCGCCAGTGTAGGCCCCAGTCGAGTCATTCCACTTCCCATCTTCGTGTTCCACGCCAATTTCTGGTGTTGCCATCCTTCATTAAAAAGAATTTATCAAAATGAGAATACAGAACCAGAAACTTGGGGAGGCACCTGATAATTATGCTTTAACCAGCATTCTGGGCTACTAAGAAAATGGAGGGAATTTTGAAAACAACATAATATATTATGGGATGCTAGAACCCAAGCCCCTTTGGAACCAACTTGCCAGGTAAATAAAATATCCATAACAATCGTTATTTTCGCGTGGTGGAATGTCTAATGTGCATCTCTAACATGGCGTAGTACGAAATTTATATCCCTTCTGGAAGTTTCTTAATATTAAAAGCATGGAGAGACCCCACTCCAAAGAGGGATTGTCCCTTCCAGCTATTGCCAATAACAGCAACTTAGACGAAAGGTTTAGTCGTATGGAAAATTTAGAGGATCGTTTGGCTGTTCAGGAAAGGACTACAAGATCCCTCGTAGACAGAGCGCTTTCGGTGAAAGAAGATATTATTGAAAGCTTGAGTATCGCTCAGATGAGCTGGCAAGGCGAGAAAAGAGCCAGGAGCTTGCTGCAAGAGCATATACGAACAATAACTACTGTGGTGAAAAGACTGAGTAAGGAAATTGAAACTTTGGAAGGCGAGATCAGGTCGAAGCAAAGTCTAGTGGAAGGGCAAAGTACTGCTGTAAAAAACTTAGAGCTTCACCATGTCGCCGGTGTCACGGATTTGAGAGGACGTGTTGCTAGATGTGATGCGGCAATTCAGAGGCTGGTATCGGATATGAGAAGTAACAACGAGGTTATAAGCGACTTCAAGCTAAAGCAAGAACAGGCAGTCAAAGATTGTCGGGAACAAATAAGCTCTTTAGAGAAGGGGATTAACAACTTGACGCTTAAAATGGAAAAATATATCATGGACCAGTCAAACAATCTCGAAAAGTTGAAAGGGGAGTCCGATCAACGCGTTGTACATCTTGACTCTAAGACAAAAACAGTCGTTGAGGATATCCGAGGTAGTATTTCTTCAAATCGCTTGTGGGCCGAATCGGAATATTTTAAACTGACGCAAGATTTTCAAACCAGGTTGGAAAGGTTTGAAGGTCTTATGGTTGAACGTCAGGAAAAACTAGAGAGAAGGGTTGACCATTACCTGGCAAAAGTAGATCGACTTCTGGAAGATGAAAAGAGCAAATATTACAATATCTGGGAGGTGAGACTGAAAGAAGTGAGGTCAGAACAGGAAAGGAATCTCCAACTGTCCTTGACTCAAATGAGAGATGAATATAGAAAGGGATTTAACAATGTTCATGAAAGTATTTCAAGCCTTCAAAAAGTGTTTCATGCAAAATTGAAATTGCTGGAAGATGATTTGCGCAAGGCTATTAATAATGTCTTAAGAATGGTAGTTCTTGTTTGACAAGTGTTCACTGTCTAATAATGAGGTAGAGGGTCTATTGGGGCCAGTGGACTTCTGCCTTGAGTAGAGTTGACTCTTTGAAGGAGGTATTTCATAATTATGGCTTATTGAAAGGTATCAAAACCAAACCCTAAAAATTATACCAACCCAATTACACATCCCCATATTGGACAAGTGTGTCCTCCCCATGCCCTCCCCTGTGAGAAACATGTTATCAGTGGTGGCCAAGAAGTTTGGTTGAGTCTGAACTTTATATATTTTAAGATGAACACTGTACTACCACATCAGTCAGAAAGGGAAGCATTTTGTAACTTTTGATTGATTGTGAATATTTTTGTTAGAAGTACAACTACTTTATTAAAAGATTGTGCTCATTAAGTACATATGATTTATCTTTATAAATTCCACAAAGTAGATTATTCTTGCATTGTCACATTTTGTTTAATAAGGGCCCAATTGGAAAACAATTTTTTTGTAAAATAACTAAGATACTGTAAGTGCCCTGATGGGTCAAAAACCTTTTGATAATTTCACTGGTAGAAAATTGAAGTTAATTGTACAAAAGGATTGAACCCAACTTTCTATCAGTTTAGTGGCATAATAACCAACTTGGGATGTTGAGAGAACACTAAATAAGTTTTTAACTCTTGAGCAAGAGGTAAGTGATATGCAAACTTTTTGAGTGTTTTCCCAACATCCCACACGACTTAATATACCAGTGAGCTGATGGGAAGTGTGCTCTATTGCTCAAATAATTAATAGCTAGTAAGAGACATATTCCCTTATGTCATAAATGTCTGCTAGCACCTACTGCTGGAAAAAATTCTTATTATTCTTTTCACTTTAAGAGCATCAGACATCTAGCCATTAGTTTCAAGTCATGATTTCAATTCCAATAGAGGACCAAGATTGTATACTCAATTACCAAAGTTAATTGCTTTCACATTTAAAAACCAATTTTCTGTTGTAGTGATGAACCCATAGCTATTCCCTTAGAGAAACAATAAATGACAATGAACATAATGGGAATTTATTAGGGGACTTTTCCACAAGGTGTCTCTTCTTTTTAACTGTTTTTACATCAAATTGTAATTTAGCATCTTATTGACTCAGACATGATGTTGGCATTAAAAATTAAAAGGTATTAAATCATGCCCCAATGATTCTCTTAGGTTTGGCAACATCCTGCACTACTTGGTGTTACAACAGTAAATTAAAGAAGAGTGTAGTATATTATTTCAGGGAAACTTCCCTTAAACATGAGAGCAAAATCTCTATTCTTAAAGAAACTTTGATGCATACCTCTCTGTAAAAATTGGCCCTATTCCTTAATTTGCTATGCTAACAAAAAAATTGGTGTTTCAGTGAGGACCCGGAACATTCCAACGACACTCACATCAGTGATTAACACATGAAAAATGAGAAAAGATTAATACTTACCAAGCAATACAAAATAGTACAAGCATATTACCACAGAAATCGGTGAATGATAACTATATTCTGTCTGGGTTTACTATGGAATGTTTTTATTGTTTTCATTTTTACTTTAAGCTATGATTGTTTTGTATATCAAACTCTTTTCTAAATTCCTCTCTAATTGTGAGACATTAAATTTTTTATTTGAACCTCCTTTTAAATTGGATGTATGCAGCTTAAGTCTCTTGAAGACCCAAAACTTTTCATGTTCAGTGAGAAAAAGAATTTAAAATTGCTTGAACTTTTGCAAATCAGAGTTGCTTATTCTCCAATAATCGCTGTTCACTTACCAATGACTCTTTTCACGTTGTTTTGATTATTTATTAAGTTACTGTATTGCTGTGCTTGTTAGACAAAACTCTTTCTACTCAAGAAGGAATTTCTGGCTAATTACTCATTTAACTGCTGAAATGACTGTTGTTTCTGTAGGAAGTGAAATGAGTTGAAGACAACAACATTTCTCGCAACAAATAAAGTCTCTACCCTGAGAAACTAACAGAAAATGATGGTGCTTTGCATTCATCCAAAACCATTAATCCCTTCACTGCCTGCATGACATACTGAGTATGTAACTAAATTTGCAGTTTGTGTGGCTACATGACATACTCAGTATGTCAAAAGTTAGAGAGTAACAGTCAAATCCCCAGCACTGAAGATGTAAAATAACCTGGCATCTAAGGCTAAAAACAGTTTAGAAGACTGGTAAGAACTAATGCCCAGTTCCACATCTGGCAAAACAGATTTAGTGTCAAATTCTGAAAAAAAGAGTCAATTTGTGTTGGCACAAGACTTCTCATTACGATTGGCAGCAAAGGGGTTAATTGATTGATATTGTCAATCCATAACAGAACATTTTATTACTTTCAATCCAAGATAGATCTTATTGATTTTAAAACCAGTTTCTTGAAAGTGTATAATATAGATTTAGATGTGGGGAATGATATCACCCCTAATTAGAAAGTTGATGAGTTCTGGTGGCTTGGATGAACAAAATTTGGGAGGCAATTATGTATTGTTACAATGATATCAAATGGTACAGAGACAAAACTGTAAAACATTGTTGTTATTGGTTATCTCATTGCCAGGAAGGAGAAGTAATCCATGCCACATTAACAGCATATAGGGGCTGATTTCTATGATAATTGGCCAACCACATGCAACATAACATTCATGGTACTCTTGAAGGTTTTTGGAGAGGTGACTGAATTTAATTTAACTCCAAAACTGAGAGAATCATTCATCAATCAATACTGCACATGGTTATGAAACAGCAGATAATACCCACAATAAATGTCTACCAGTAACTTTGCTTATTGTCAAACTGAGTTTTCAATCTTTGTTCTCATCTGCTAACTACAACATAACTTCCTGTGACCTTCAGAACATTCTAAGACCCTTTTAATTTTCTTAGGTGGCCACAGAAAGCATTCCATTTTCAAAATACATGTAGTTCTCATGTGATCTCAGAGTATTTTGGACTTTTATTCAAATAGTTGTCATGCATAATTTGAAAGATAGATATTGTGTCTATGAGGAAAAATATGATCTATAGTAATGTGGAGAAAAGTTATTGTCCATTCTTTCACAATAAATGTTTGACGACAGTCACATGACTGAAATTCTGACATCACTGCAAGGCTTGTTTAATTTCTTTAACAAGCATAGAGCTAATTGCCATCTTTTCACAATTCACTGTTATGGAGCTGCTTTTTCCATCAACAGGTACTTTAACTGTCACAAGAACATGTGTTCCTCCAGAGATGGTGCGAGCAGCAAATCGGTATGTTGATGCCCCCTCAGAAAGGGGCGTGGCTCCAATGTAGGTGATAGCAGCAGCCTCCTTCACTTTTGAACATACCACTTCTTCAGAATTAAGGTTGCCAGGTATATCTACTGTTCCAGAACTCTCATTTAAGCCTCGAAGTTTACCTGAGAGGAATTTGTACAGGTAAAATCCTGCTGTTATTATCATTACCAGTAATGTAAGGGTTGTGGTTTAGTTTTAACTTTGGATCAAAAATAAATTTTTTTTCATTGCTGTTTCCACATCAAAGAACAAAGGAAAACGTAGTTAAAACCAAGAATAAATTGAACCATACATACACTAAAAGCTGTTCTCAGAGTCATACCATAGATGATTTATTGACTGGAACAATAAATATGTTAAATATGTTGTTGTGTCTTTCCACAAACAAAAAAACACAAAGTACTGGACAGCAAAACATCACTTTTAATTGAAAACATTTCATAAAAACCTGACAAAATAGCACTCTGAATAAGGAGGAATTGTTCCTCAAAATGCCTTGATTTTTCTTGCAAATTTGCAAGGAAGAACATTTGCGAATTACACTTGAATCAATCTTCCACACCACCTTATGTGGCTGTACAGGTGTTAGGGTTAGCAATGAATATCACATATAATATGTTGTGAAAGCAATCATTATCTTCTTGAATACCCTCTAAAAAGGAAAGTAAGGGTGGGTGATAGTTGGATTTCTGTATAAAAAATACAAAAAGCAACACTAATAAATTGACCAAATTTGACTATGAAAGGGTGAAAGAGTGTGGAGGCAAAAGCAACCAGTTTGACTAAATAAAGAATACACCCACCTTGTTTGGTCAAGAAGTCAGCTTCAGTCATGGGGCAGCCTTGTAATAGTTCACCAACAGGTGCCTTGATGCTAACTGGAAACTTACTGGATTGAGTACTAAAAGACAACCCCAAAAATCATGTCACTTTTAAAGGTAAATCTCCCAGTCCTGGGACACTTAGATTGATTGTCTTTTTTAGTTACACAATGACTCAATAAAGACATTTCCAAATATGCACATGTATCCAGGAAAATAAAATAGCTTATACAAACTGTACAAAGCTAAATTTGGTTCCAATACTTATAGCTCTACTTTCAATACTATTTTGAGAGCAGAGTTTCACAGAATTATTTATAAACTAAACTGAATGCAATTGTATCAACACTTTTCAACAAGTAGTCATTTTATGAACACCAGTTTAAATGTGTGACAGTGACAAAACACATTGTTGTTGTATAATGGCAGCCTACAGAGGTCAGTTCAAATGGCAGCCCCACTATTAAGTTACATCTGCAGATCTAAGAATTCTGCATTAGTGTCACTGATACTACAGGTTCTAGTAAAATGCCCTGTACCACAGATGAAGTGTGAAATGAAACTCATTTAAAACTTCCTTATACAACAATAGAGAAACTTAACCCACCACAAATTAAAACTGGCAGGCTGAGTTGTATCATTAAAATCAATCCCTACAGTCACTGCAATGGTTGCACCTGGTGCAAGTGATGCTATGTGAGAAATAAATAAAAGATAAGTTCATGAAATAAGTTTAGCAATGATGACCAGTTGATAACCAATCCATTTAATGTCAAATATAAGAGCTGGATGAAGTTAGACAACCAGAGGTACATACAAACAATCTCACTTGATTATTTTGTTTACCAAGGTGTATTTTTTTATCAAATTAACTAAAATGTAAATACAATATCTCAAGAACCCATCTGTTAGGTAGTTCAATGAGACAGATGTTGATTATATTTTGTACATGGGGAGAAGAATCCCTGCTGAACTCTTCAGCACTAGTACATGTAATACCAAAGGTGTCCTAAGCTAACATCTTAAGAAAAAGCAAACAATCAATTCATGAAAGCTCCTTGCACAGTGAGATGGGGTGTTAAGTTACATGGACACACAAGGAGTGAGTAAGTTCTATTAATCTTCCATGTAAAACTTTTATATTTCAGAATATTTAGTGTTGTAAATCAACCATATTTTCTTTCCCCATACTATTTCTTATAAGATGTTCAAATTTTCAACAGGTCCTTGCATAACTTAACATCAGGTTACACAACGCCTGATGCTGTCATGAATTAATCTTTTGCTTTTTCTTGAGACATGAGCTTGGGATGCCTGTGGTAATACAGTACGCTCAGGCCTGCAACTTACTGATTGGTTGAAAGTCATGCATTTTCATTCCTGCTCCTAGTTTCTGTACCACAAAAAGACAAACAAACTTAGATTAGGTATAAAATTCAAACAAAGTTATTAATTTATCCCTGCATGACCAACATAATTAAACCATCACAAGCACTGATGAAATTTTTGTTCACTGGCAAAGTCCCAGCTTTTTGATATCTCTTCTCTTCAATTGCTCTGTTCAAAATAAAGGTTTTAATAGACATGTGACCCTTTAAATAGACCTTGAAAAAAACCTAAACAAGTGGGAGGACAAATGATTAAAAACTTGCCTTTTCTTCCACAGAAATATTAGAAATGGGAGCTTCAGACTTGTTGACCAGTGTTACTTCCACAGCTACCATGGATGTGGAGTAAATGCAAGGACCTCTTGTAAATTTGTAACTGCCACTGAGTCCTTTGCCCTGCATGCGATGGAGAAGCTCGTGTGATTTTGCAGATGAAAAACTTGGACTAAGCTGTTAAAAGAAAAAATAAAATTATTTTGTGACTCTAAGAAATTTAAGAACCACACTGCTTTGTAAAGTGTGCAATTCAAAAATCTGAAAGAGAGAAATAAAGTTTCAGGGCTTAAGTCTACAATGCCTTTTCAATGAGACTTTGAGTTCTGTTTCCTGCACATCAGACTTGCAACTTAATACAATGTATGAAAAATATCGCCTGGATG